ATATATTTTTGTTGATTTTTTTTTTACAGCGAGAAAGGGAGAGGGATAGAGTTAGAAACATCTATCAGCTGCCTCCTGCACACCCCCTAATGGGGATGTGCCCACAACCAAGATACATGCCCTTGACCGGAACTGAACCTGGGACCTTTCAGTCCACAGGCTGATGCTCTATCCACTGAGCCAAACTGGTTAGGGCAGAACTTAAATTTTCATAGGATAACTGATCAACAGAAGTATGGCTTCTTTTATTAAAAAAAAAAAAAAAAAAGGAAAACCCCAGGTCATCAACTTGGGTGTGATATTGGTTTTCTGTTGCTGCCATAACCAATTACCACAAACTTATGGCTTTAAAAAACCAATGTATTATCTCACAACTCTATGTTACAAGTCCAGTACAGGTCTCTCCAAGCCAAAATTAAGATATGGGTAGGTTGTAGTCCTCTCTGCAGGCTCTGGGACAGCCTGTTTCCTCAGGTGTTGGCAGAATTCAGTCTCTTGCAATATAGGACTGAGCAGGCTGTCAGCTGGGAACCATATTTAGAAACTAGAGACCTCTCCCCAGTCCCCCCTGCATGTCAGAACCACCATTATCCTTCTCACACTGTCATTTTTCTCTGATCACAGCTGAGAAACACTTTTAAGGGCTTGACATCAGCTTGGCCCCACTGGAATAATCCAGGATACTTTCTTTTTCCATCCAAAGATTTTAACCATAACCATGTCTGTACAATCCCTTTTGCCAAGTAAGGTAGCATATTCACATGACCCAGGGATTAGGACATGGACATCTTGGGAGATGTTTATTCTTTCTGCCATAGGAACAGCTTAGCACTACACTGTCTACTGTAACGGGGCAGCGTGGCAACCCTGGCCTGAGAAGGGTGTGATTACCAAAGGCTCAAGACAGGAATGAGTTAGGTTCATACCATCAAGTAAGCTACATGATAATCAACGATGAAGGGAATTTATCAATTTTAGTGAAGGGAGGTAACAAAGACGAACTGCAGCATTGGGGATTATAACTTGCCACCCTAAGCTATCTTAAGAAGCCCCTCAGGAATTGTGAACATACATGGAGAAATGAATCTGGCACAAGGCAGAATGCAGTGGCCATTAGAGTATGCCACCCAAATCTCGAGAGCATGAACTGCAGTTAACAGCTCCCAGCTCCCTCACCTTTAGGTGTCACACTAAGGCCACACTTCCCTCAGGCTGCTTGCTGCATGACTGAAAACAGAAGGGATTCTAAGTCGTTACTTCTAACAGGGAAACATCATCTAGAACTCATCAGCACTCTTATATAGATAGGATGCAGTCTGAGGCTCTTTCTACCAAATCCTTTTCCTTGTGCCTAAAAGAACCCAAGTCCTTGGAATGGCAACTGTGTGGCCTTCTCAAAACTCAGCCTTGTTGCTGGGTTTCCAAGAGTGACCATCAAAAATTTCTAGAGTATTAATTCCTTGGCCTCCACTTTCCCTCCCCTATCCCAGAAAAGTGCTCATGGGCCTGTTAATTTATAATCATCTGGAGTGATGGGTGGGTGCTAATGGTTTGTATATCAAGTCTTTAAAAAACAGGAATTCGATAGTCTAATCCTGTTGCAAAAGCAAGCATATTCTTGTTTATGGCTGCATAAATGCTTCTCCTGTGTTATGAGTATACTACAGGACCTATTAAAGATGGCAGAAATAAATTCGATGGGCCTTCTGAGCTATTTTCACATTCTTTGAATGTAACTTAAACTACCATGTTTCCCCGAAAATAAGACCTACTAACAGGTTTCTTTCTGAGTGAAATATAAGGCATCCCCCGAAAATAAGGCCCTCCCTAAGCTAAACATGAGAGATTTGGTCCACTGATTCTGAAAGAAATGGAGTTATAAGAAATTCACCAGGAAATTCAGGAATTGGATTGTTATGATATTCCAGAAGATGATGACATGATTGTCATTGAATAAATGAGTAAATTCTTGATACTGTAGGATTCAGTTTGTCTGGTTTGTGTTGACAACTACCATACTACCATACCATATACAGGTTAATAAATTTCCTTTATTTTCATTTAACAATAAACGTGTACCATATTCTTCTCCATGGAAAAATAAGACATCTCCTGAAAATAAGACCTAGCGCATCTTTGGGAGCAAAAATTAATATGACACTGTCTTATTTTGGGGGAAACAGAGTAGTGCCAAAGTGATGGTATAACTCAGCTATTTTGGACCAAAATAAAAATTTATCCTACTACAAGAATTTTTATTTATTTATTTTTAATATATTTTTTTAAAAATTTATTTTTTACAGAGAGGAAGGGAGAGAGCTAGAGAGCTAGAAATGTTGATGAGAGAGAAACTGACCAGCTGCCTCTTGCACACCCCCTACCGGGGATGTGCCGGCAACCAACATACATGCCCCTGACCGGAATCGAACCTGGGACCTTTCAGTCCGCAGACCGATGCTCTACCACTGAGCCAAACCGGTTTTGGCTATTTTTAATATATTTTATTGGCCGAAACTGGTTTGGCTCAGTGGATAGAACTTCAGCCTGCGGACTGAAAGGTCCCGGGTTCAATTCCGGTCAAGGACATGTATCTTGGTTGCGGGCACATCCCCAGTAGGGGGTGTGCAACAGGCAGCTGATGGATGTTTCTCTCTCATCGATGTTTCTAGCTCTCTATCCCTCTCTTCCTCTCGGTAAAAAATCAATAAAATATATTTTAAAAAATAGTAAAAATATATATATATATATATATATATATATATATATATATATATATATATATATATATATAAATTTTATTGGTTTTTTAGAGAGGAAGGGAAAGGGATAAGAGAGCCAGAAACATCGATGAGAATCATCGACCAGCTGCCTCCTGCACACCTCCTACTGGGGATGTGCCCGCAACCAAGGTACATGCCCTTGACCAGAATTGAACCCGGGACCTTTCAGTCCGCAGGCCGATGCTCTATCCACTGAGCCAAACCAGTTTCGGCCTACTACAAGAATTTTTAAAAGACGATACTTTAGTCAGACACTGACCTCCTCTCCCTTAGGAGTCACATAAAAATCACTATCAGCAAAAAATATTTTTGGTGTGCCACAAAATTTTAGTAATTATTTTGTGTGTCATGAGATGAGAAAGGTTGAAATCACTAGTCTAACTATAATTTTGTTCCTTAATTCAGTTCTTATAGGTGATCATTTAGCCTCCTTGTCATAATGCACCTCAATAAACAATTTCTAGCATAGGTAACTTAACCCTAAATTTTTATCTTAACTGTACTTTCAGATTCATCAAAATGATCTTGACAGCCTTGGCAGGTGTGGCTCAGTTAATTGGGCACCATCCTGTGCACAAGGTTGCTGGTTCCATTTCCGGTCAAGGCATATGCCTGTTTTGTGGGCTCTGTTCCAGGTAGGGGATGTGCAGGATGTTCCACTCTCACATCAATGTTTCCCTTTCCTCATTCCCTCTCCTTTCCCCTCTCTAAAAAAATTAAGTAACTTTTAAAAGATCTGGACAACTCTGTGATCCAGTACCAGACCCAACTTCTCTGGGAGTTTTGTGTATTTACACATACATATGTAATTTACATACAGAAATTGACATAGGTTAGAAGTCAGATGGTTAAAGATATGTATTTATGGATATACTTTCCTAGTCCTAGAGAATTTTAAAACGGACGATAGTCAGAAATTGAGAGAGAAATGGAAGAAGTAGGGGGCACAGAGGAGTGAAAAGGAAGATATCTGGAACTGGGAAGCTTTAATAGGGAAGTCCTACCCCTTCCCGTTTACTTCTAACAAATCTTTATCTTATCCTGCAAACCAAAACTAAAGTTACTGAAAGTATATTTACTTCTTGGGATGGAAATATATCTTGTCCTATTTTCCCTTTCCCATAAGAAACAGCTCCCTAAGGACCACCACCCAAATGTGTGTGTGTGTGTGTGTGTGTACACTCTCAAATACAAATAAAACACATTCAAGTGATTTATATTTTCATAACATTTTAACATTTAATAGAAACTATATACAATAACTTTTTATGGCATCTTACATTAGGATAGTCACTGCAGAAATTTACATAGTTTGAAGATGGATAGTTGAGGACCGAGTCCAGTGGACTTATTTTCTGAAGTTACAGTAGAAGGGAGTTCAGATTCCCCAATTAGGTGAGAGGTGAGAAAAGGCTAAAACACAAGCTGCTAGATAGCAATGGCCAAACATTGGGTCCATCAATATCCACTTCAAGACTTTGGAAACCAGAGGTTGGGAAGATGGCGGGAGAATAGATGGCGGATTCTGAGCCCTCTCCCGAAGCAGAAAGAGAGCGCAACTGATGGTCTTGAGCTGTGAGTGTTTATTAGCAAACTGGGAGACAGCGAACACCAGAAGAAACTGTTGGGGGGCTGCTGACAGAGGTACCCCTCACAGGGAAGCACCCACACGGGCTACGTCCCTGTCCGGAGCTACCTACCAGCTTGGATAGGGAAACCTTGCCATCTTGAGAGGAAGATAGGATCGTGTCAGAGGCCTGAATATCAACAGCCGCAGCGACCAAGCAACTGTGACCCCCATAACGCGGATCCCAGGCAGCGGGAACACCTGGCCTCACAGGAGGGCCCCACTGCTCGGCGAAAAGGAGAGAGAGAACTACACAACCAGACATCCTAGATCATGGGGAGACCAAAAGACTTTGGAAATCCTCTTACCAAGATGTCTCTCCTCAGAGCACAGAGTCCCAAATACTCCTCGATCTCAGCAGCTCTGACAAAGTATCACCTATCTTTCTTACTTGCCCAGAGTGGGAAGACACAACTTTTAGACACTACTACTGGTCCCTTCCCCCAAAGTTTGGTGTATGTTTGACTATAGCACTCAGTAATCCAGAAGGAAAACATAGTAGTCTAGATTGTCCTTTAGAGAGGTCAGAAATCCTTGTTTAAATAACAGAAAATTCAAATCCTCCCAAGTCAAATGGTTCCCAAAACAAACTATCAACTGATAGAACTGTGTTCTGGCTTCCCATTTGCAGTAGCCACTCCACTCTGGAGCAATGGTGCAGAGGCTTTTTCTGAGTTTCGAGACGTCTGCGATCTGCACCCATCTCCAGCCATCTGCATCTGGCCCTGTTAAAAGAAAGTGACTTTGGTTACAAATCCATTTGTTGTGATCTGAAAAGCATGAATCTGACTTATCAATGCCCATATATCATAGCAACAAGAACAAGACAGTAGAAATAAAATAATACTGGGCAGTTGCTCTTCCCCATACTTGTCATTACTTAAAGCATTCCTAAGATTCTCCCAACGGGAGGAAGAGCTGTGCGTTGTTTCTTCCAAATGAAACAGCCATTCTGTGCTGAATTTCCAGAACAACCAATAGATCACAGGAAGATGGTCCTTTGGGCCTCTGCTTGAAACCAACAGCTATAGTGTAAGTGCTGGTCTTCAGTCAGGGCCATTTGTATCCCACTCAAGGCCCAGAGAAAGAAACCAAATCACATTACTCATCCTTACCCTATGATGAAAACAATTCCAGTGCTGAACTCTGCCTAGATTCCTTGTCAAGCTAACTAACTGTGTGGCCTGCTCTGAGATATGAGCACCAGGGATTCTAAGAGCTATCTAGAGAACCATCTGGGACACCTTTACAGTCTCCGTGTGATGACAACCCCACTCACACTCTGGCGATACATGTTAGCACAGCCAGCGGGGAAACCTCTGCCTGGCTACATGGCTATATGGGGGAAGCCTGGCCGGGTTGTTCTTCACTTGCCAAAGTATCCACTGGGCCTTCAGTATTGTCTTTGACTGAATGATCTTCAAGGGTTAGTGAAGGATCAAAAAGCAAGGGTGAAGGAGGACACTGCATACCATCACCCACAACATCCAAGTCCTAGGGAAAGAAAGAGAAATGCCTATCAGTAATATAAAACGAACCAATTAGCTAGTTAGCATATTTTTCAGCAAACCTTAAAGCACTTTTCCCACACTTCCCTTACCCCTTGCCTACCTTAAGTCAAAAAAACTTTCCCAAAACGCCCAACAAATGGAATAAGATCCAAAAGCACTAAAATTTTTTCTTTGCTGCCAAGTATAAAGCAGGGACCACCAGTTACTTAAAAAGGAGTATTTTTCAATCAGTATAATTAAAAATTAAACTGAAATACTGCCTTAAAATATTGGGAAATATGAGATTGTTTTATTAATGTCCTCACAACCACAAAGCAAGTCAGTGAGCAAAAGAGGAAAGGGAGAAAAGAGAAATGAATAAGAAACTCAAAGTCTCACTTAACAGCTACAAAATACTATTTTGGTTAAGTCCTTATCCCCACAGAATTATTGAGTTCCTGATTCTTAAACCTAACAACCAAATGTAAGCAAACAAAAAATATTATATTTACAGACTATGTTTCTTCCAATTGAATTGGCCACTGCCACTGGATCCTGAACGGCCAACAAACCACAGGAAGACATTGCTCTTGGCTCCTGCTTGAAACCAACAACTACAAAAAAACCACTGGTCTTGATTCAGGGCCTAAAGCATTGCAAAGGCTCAGATGAGGTGTCAAACAGACTTGCATGTCACCCCTTTCTAAGAGGATATCCCTAACCTCTCCTAAGAGTGAAAATTACCCAAGGGTTTGTATTCCCTTATGTTCAATCCACTTTATAGAGGCTCTATGCTTTCGGTAATCTAATTTCACAAGAAGCACACTTAGTTCAATGCTCTTAAACAGGCCTTAGCGAGTCCAAAATTATTTCCCTTTCTTTGGTGAGTCACAAAAAATAAGAATCACATCTTCAAAATAATTAAGGTTGAAAAAAGTAAGTAAAGAACATTGGATTTAAAGCTGGTTAATTTAAGCAGAAACACAGAGAAGAGGATAGTCAGGTATCTAAAAGGATATATTCACTTCAGATAGTATGTAATATCCACAGAAACCAGTGTTCTCATATGGTTAAGACAATAGACTATTTTTTTCAATTCTTTTACTATGCACATTTATTATACAAATAATTAACTTGGAATTTAAAAGAACCCATTTAAGTAGTGAGGCAAAAGGTTTCCAAGTCTCAAGAAAGAACAAGAACTAAATTTGGAGAAAGGAACCTAAAATAAGAGGGGGGGGGGGGGAATCAGCAGGAAAGCCTACCATAACAAGAACATTTAATCGCAAAGTATCAAAACATTTTGAGAGAATCCATTTTTGTTCTGATCTCAAAACCACAGACACACAGAGCAAACTCAAAATATGCAAAACATCTTTGGATCAAAACATAGAAAACAGACAAGTGTAATACCCAGAATGACAGGATCATCGTGCCTTAGCCTTTTGTGCAGAATTTTTACCCATATTAACAGCTCATACCTGACTCTTCCCTGAATGAAGTTACAAAAAGTTATTAGTAAGTTATAGAAATTTATCTAAAACAATACAGGTGCCGAAACCGGTTTGGCTCAGTGGATAGAGCGTTGACCTGTGGGCCGAAAGGTCCCGGGTTCGATTCCGGTCAAGGGCATGTACCTTGGTTGCGGGCACATCCCCAGTAGGAGGTGTGCAGGAGGCAGCTGATCAATTATTCTCTCCCATAGATGTTTCTAACTCTCTATCCCTCTCCTTTCCTCTCTGTAAAAAATCAATAAAATATATATATTAAAAAAAAAAAAGTTTAAAACAATACAGGTAACAAAATTGCTTAGTGAAACTCATATAATTAAGAAATTATTTTTTGCCCTAGCCAGTTTGGCTCAGTGGATAAAGCACCAACCGGCCTGTGGACCAAAGGGTCCTGGGTTCAATTCCGGTCAAGGGCACATACCTCAGTTGCATGATCCTCTCTGGCCCAGGGCCCTGGTTAGAGTGCGTGCAGGAGGCAACCAATAGATGTGTTTCTCTCACATCAATATTTCTGTGTTTCCATCTCTTCCCCTCTCTAAAAGTCAATGGAAAAATATCCTCCGGTGAGGATTTAAAAAAAAAAATCATTTTTCCACAGCAAAAGTTTATACTAATATATCCAGAATTTGTGGGAAGACAAATTATTTTCCAAAACTGCATTTTATTTCAAATTTTCTGGAAAACTTATGTCTAAAGATTAAGAACAATAACCACATTGTCTACTGCACCAAATCTATTATGAACACAATAGATTATCAATTACAAATGGCTAATTGTTTTACAAAAACAATTAGCTATTTGTAATTGGTCCATCTTAAAAACACACTGGATTCTCAAAAGTAACCTTTTTTTTTTTTAAATATATTCTTTAAGAAATCTGTGCCAAATATAAAGATGAACAGATCTGATGGCATATATTAATATCTTTTAAAATTAAGATTTCTTAACTATCAGGTTTTTCCTACCATCACATCTTACAATCTTTTTTTTTTTTTAATATTTTTATTCATTTCAGAGAGGAAGAGAGAGGGGGAGAGAGAGAAACATCTATGATGAGAGAGAACCATGGATAGGCTGCCTCCTGCACACCCTTCCACTGGGGATGGAGCCTGCAATCCAGGCATGTGCCCTTGACGGGAATTAAACCTAGGACCCTTCAATCCATAGGCTGCCTGCCACTCTATCCACTGAGCAACATCTTTAATATTTTGTTCTCACATTTCATGAATCTGTGTGAAATTTTTTCTTTTTAAAGAGCAATCATAATCAGGATTATAACAAAAATATTATTATAAATGAAATAATAAAAAACATGTTTACTACACCTATTGACAGAATATAATTCCAAAAAGGAAATTATGGAGGGAAAAATTGCAATCAGTTTCTTTCTTTTTATATTATATATATATATATATATTATTGATTTTGTACAGAGAGGAAGGGAGAGAGATAGTTAGAAACATCGATGAAAGAGAGTCATCGATCAGCTGCCTCTTGCATACCCCCTACTAGGGATATGCCCGCAACCAAGGTACATGCCCTTGACTGGAATCGAACCCAGGACCCTTCAGTCCCCAAGCCGACGCTCTATCCATTGAGCCAAACCGATTTCGGCCAGTTTATTCTATATATATTCCCCTTCCCCCCATTGACTTCAGAGAGGAAGAGGGAGACAGAAACATCAGAGAGAACCACTGACTGGCTTCCTCCTGCACACCCCCTACTTAGGATCAAGCCCACAACTGGGGCATGTGCCTTGACTGGGAACTGAACCAATAACCTCTCGGTTCCTAGGCCAATGCTCAACCCCTAAGCCACCCCAGCCAGGTCATTTTATTCTTAATGCCATTCCCCCCCTTCACATATTATCTAGTGTATCTTTTTTAGTAAATTTGGAGGCTATCCAAACCTTACTTGCACCTAATTTTCCATTTAAATTTGTCCCCTTAAACATGCCATGGTTAGACACAAGACACCTTTATTATGAAATTCAAAAAACTTTCTTTAATAATGAGGATCTTTATCCAGAAGGCTAAAGATTAATAAGCAAAGTGCCAAGAGAGAGGTGGAATGTTAACTGATCCCTAAAGTCAAATAGTAGGATACTGCTAACTAGGGAAACAAAATCTGAGCTGGATTTATGCGCTATGGCCAATCAAACAAGTGAAAAAGTCAGAAGTGTACATAATTCAAAGGATATATAAAAGTAAATACTCAGCCCTGACCAGTTTGGCTCAGTGGATAGAGTGTCAGCCTGCAGACTGAAGGGTCCCAGGTTCGATTCCGGTCAAGGGCATGTACCTTGGTTGCGGGCACATCCCCAGTGGGAAGTGTCGAGGAGGCAGCTGATCGATGTCTCTCTCCCATCGATGTTTCTAACTCTATCCCTCTCCCTTCCTCTCTGTAAAAATCAATAAAGTATTACTGTTCTAGTCCATTCACAACAGGATTATGTAATAACATCAAATTTGAAAAACAGTAACCAAATTTACAGTAATTTCTTGTGATACACATTAATCTGAAAATGAAATCCTTACTATGGAGCCAAAACACAAGTTCACAATGTCAGGAGTAGATTATCAGAACTTGGTATTAAGATGCTGGTGAATCCACTCACTTTGTAGATGGGTAGCATATTTCCTGCTACACCAAATCCAACCATAATCTTGACTTTCTAACTTCCCTTAGTTTACAATTTTCCTTACTATTCCCTCAGAAAAATTTCTGCCAATCTCAACTGTCTCTAAATGAATATGCTAACATATACATACAACCATGCATATATCATTTCAAAAACTTTATCAACTCTCCTGAGCACAAAAGTCTAACCTATACTCAACATCCTATATAAAGAAAGCCTAATATGCAAATGGCAGAGCAACCAAACAGCAAAATGGCTGGTTGGCAGAACCAGCAAGCAGGCAGGTGCCAGTGGGTAGAGGGAAGGAACAGCGACAGGTGGAATTAGAGGGGCAATTGGGGGTCTGTGCCGTCCCCTGATCACTCCAATGGTCACCTCCTACAGAAGGAGGCCAGACTGCAGCTTAGGCCCGCTCCCTGCTGTCAGTCGGACTTCCCCCTAGGGCTCCTGTTTTGCAAAAGGGCGCAGGCCAGACTGAGGGACTGCCCCTCCCACCCCCACCTGAGTGCATGAATTTCTGTGTATCAGGCTTTTAGTTAATAAATAAGGCCTTGCCTCAAAGGCCAACCAGAGCGGACTTCTCTAACTTACATCACTGAACTCCAGAGGTAAACTCTCAGTGGGCTGAAGCTCAGCAGCACTCAAGTACAGATCCATGGGGCCGGCTTCCAGATCGTCTGGCACAGACAGTACCTGCTCGGGCTTATACATCTGAGGAGGCAACTGGAAATGCAGTGGGCAGCAGGGATCTTCAGAGAGGCTTACAGGAACTGGTTTGTTGCAGGGTACCTCTTCAGACCCCTGGCAGCATTTGAAGAGAACCTGATTCGTGTCCTGACAAATATCTGCAGAAAAATGGTCAAGGGAAGTAAAATGGACCTATGGGAGGTACAAAATACAGGTATCTGCCATGTAAAACTCAAGGTCTGCACTACAAGATAATTGGTTACATTTGACACAGAACAAAATGCAGTTAGCAATTTTTCTAATTCTAGCTCTATCAGTAATTTAAAACTAGTTCCCAACCTCCATTTTAAGATCCTAGCCATTTAAACTAATCTTGTTTTCCCATATAAGACATCTAAAAACACAGTGCTGACAAGCCCTCTGCTGAGGAGGCAGAAGGCCACAGCCTCCTCTTCTCTCAGAACTACAGCCCTTCCACGGAGAAACACCTGCCTGAAATTCAGAGGGTCTTTGACAGGGATCCAGACACACTGCTATTTTTACTTCAGCAAAAGAGTGAGCCAACAGAACCATGCATTGGAAGCAAAGCCCCGAAAGATGATAAAACCATTATAGAAGAGCAGGCAACCAAAATTGCAGATTTGAAGAGGCATGTGGAATTCCTTATGGCTGAGAATGAGAAATTAAGGAAAGAAAACAAACAACTCAAGGCTGAAAAGGCCAGACTTCTAAAAGGCCCAGTAGAAAAGGAGCTGGATGTAGATGCTGATTTTGTAGAAAAGTCAGAGTTATGGAGCTTGCCGCCACAGTCAGAAACTGCTACAGCCTCTTCAACCTGGAAGAAATTTTCAGCAAGTACTGGGAAAGCCAAGGATATTCCAATACCCAATCTTCCTCCCTTGGATTTTCCTTCTCCAGAACTGCCCCTTATGGAACTCTCTGAGGATATTCTGAAAGGACTTATGAATAATTAAAACGGAAGGCCATAGAAGAGGTGAGAAGAGGAAATAATACAGTTAATGCAGAAGAAACAAAAAAGGGAAAAGGCACATACAAGGATAATCCTGGAAATGCTTCGTTACCCGGCGCCCGCGGAGAGGAGGCAGTGCAGGGCTCCGGAAGTGGTCACTGTGAAATACGCCGCGTGTCTGACTTACTGACTCAAGCTAATGATTCCAGACTTGGCAGACACTTTCTCCTAACACAAACCAAATGGCTACCTGGAATAATTTTTTCAAGCAACAATTGTTTTTCTTATCTTCAGGGTTAAAAATGTATAAAAATATGTTACGTGTAATTAATCTGTAATGCCATAAATGATAATGCAAAACAAATAATTTGGTGGCCTGGGAAGCTGCCTTGTATTTGAAACATGCTTTCTATCATGCATTGACTGTATGCATTTTGTTATGCACATTTCATTTGTTCAATAAGGTGTGTAAGACACCTTTCTAGATGAAACTCTGTGTGCCACACTTTGCACTACTCATAACATAATGATAACCTCAAGACTATCAGGAAAAATATTTAAATTTCCATTTTATGAAGAACCAAATTATTAGTTATGTTTTTTTTTTTTTTTAAATTACCAGTTTACATAATTAATCAGGGTGCATTTTAAGTTCTAACTTTTTTTGTTTATTGTATAATGCATCATTTGAAAATACCAAGGAAATAATCCTTTGTTTTTAATGATGCATGAGTGGAAGTAATGCTAGTTGGCAGTATTTGATTGTAAGAAATCAATAAAGTAATTGTATTTTTTTAAAAAAAAATAAATAAATAAAAAAATAAAAACACAGTGCTGAGCAAACAGCAATAACAATCCTAGGAATCTACACTTACTCAGAAGAGACAAATGTAAACAGTCTGCAGAGGCCTCTACCAACCCCTTCCAAAACTCGTGAGACTAAGTTGTTTCTGCTCCATTAAGAAGATGGATAAAGCCGAAACCGGTTTGGCTCAGTGGTAGAGCGTCGGTCTGCGGACTGAAAGGTCCCGGGTTCGATACTGGTCAAGGGCACGTTGCGGGCACATCCCCGGTAGGGGGTGTGCAAGAGGCAACTGGTCGATGTTTCTCTCTCATCGACGTTTCTAGCTCTCTATATCTCTCCCTTCCTCTCTGTAAAAAAGTCAATAAAATATATTAAAAAAAAAAAAATGGATAAAAAGTTTTTAAACCTTATTTCCAAAATGCTTACATGATGAAATTGTTTAAAGCAGCAGAGAACTGGAACTGGAGAAAATGGAAGCAAAATAATAGTGACTAGCTATTATATCCTGGAAGTAAAAATATATTTCCATACCCCCTGGGGTTTTTTTTTGGGTTTTTTTTTGGGGGGGGTGTACTGCTGGGGAATCCTTTTATCCCAAAGAGAAGAGATGGTAATTTTAGGAAAGGCAGGAAAGAAAGTAATCTAGGAATGCTCCTAGGAGCTCTAACAGGACAGTCAATGTTAAGGCTAAAAGCAGAAAATGATTATTATTTCCAAGTTGACAAAGAAACTCTGTAGGATGAATCAAAATTGAAATCATAATCAGATAAAATAAAATTCCAGTTCAAGTTACTCTAGAAAGCACATTTTACACAAGTGTTATCATTTCTGAAAATCCTAACTGTATGGTTATTCTCCTATTATTTTAAATTTAGACTTATTTTTAAGTAAGAAAGCACAATTTTCTATAAACTGATTGTATCCAGGATTATTGAATGTCAAGTGTAATTAATAAATTGGGGGGAAAATATTAAGGTAATTTTTAAAAACTAAAAAATGTAATGCACATTGTAATTTTTAAAACAAAAACTTTTAAATAAAGCCATTTCTTTCATTATACTAAGAAAGGGTTTCACAATCTTGGCACTAATGACATCACTGGCTGTCCTGGGCATTGTAGAATGTTCAGCAGCATTCTTGGCCTCTACCCACTAGATGTCAGTAGCACCTCCATCTGAGTCATGACAAGCAAAATGCCTCCACACATTGCCAAATGGGTCAAATGACCCCCCCCCCACGTTCCCTAACAATCTCTACTCTAAAGGAATAATGGTACAAAATAAATATTAAATGAAAATTATTAAATGAACAAACAAATGAATCTAATGGGAACAGACTTGCAGCCTCTATGTGCTTCAAAAAAACCCAATCTAATTTAAATTATTAATTTTTAAAATGTTAATCCATTAAATGCTTTAATCACAATATTTTTTATGGAACTCAAAGGACTTTCATAAGTCTCTTATTTAATACCACGCATCCTGGGAAGATCCTTCCCCCATCCTCATCCACCCTCCTTCCTTTCAGCTGGGGACAACAAAGACAAAGAGAAGGGAATGGTTGACCTACAACTAGTCTGCATCCTTCACTTCCAGTCCAGGGCTGTATCCATTAGACCAGAGTAAAGACTTAACAGGTCACCAAGGCAGTCGCATCTTTCTCTGGAATAAGGACTTAAGGAAGGGTAAGTGGCTTAGGCAACTATGGAATGAAAAAGAACACAAAAGAAAAAATACTTCCCTTCTCTTTTCAAATACATTTCATTTTCAACTTTAAAATATTAATATTCTAATAAACTATGAGTATAGTACTATAACGAGTGGGGAGCGTCAGGTCCACAGGCCATAAAAGGCCCACGAAAACATTTGGTCTGGCCCTGCCAAGGAATTAGGAGTGAGTTAATTATATACTTGACCAAATATAGCAGGCAAATTTTTAAGTTGATAATTTTATATGGCCCATGAATGATGTTATAAATATACAAATAACCCTTAGCAGACAAAAGGTTCCCCACGCCTGTATTACAAGAAAAATCTAAACTACTTTAATAACTGTAAATTGGCTTTTTGCCTTATAATCAAACTCACTGAAGAAAGCCTGAGAAGTACAAAGCAGGGGAAAAGGCATTCATAACCCCACCATCCAAAAATAGTCACATTTCTATTAAACTTCCTCCTAATATTTAGTTCCATGTAGTTAAAACATACTCTACAGAATCTTATATTCTATTTTTGTTATCAAATGTTTTCTCATATCATTCATAAAGTTTATTAAATGTTTAATGACAACATATTACTATTTATGTTGTATCATAATTTTCTCCTCCCCATCTCTGAAAAATTTAAGCCTCAAAGTACAGAAATTTTATGGAATACTGGTCCTATATTTAATTATCTCCTTAAATAAGTTCACAGAGGTGATAGTAACATAGTAAAGAATATAAATAGTCAAACTGCTTTCTAAAAAGCCTGTAACACTTTATATTACCACTGGCAGTATTTAGAGGGTCCATTTCACCACAATGTCACCAACTTTTGAAATTCACTCATTAAAAATATATATTAGCATCAAATTTATGGATTTAAACATGTTTTATTTCCTATTTCATTTATTTACAGTAATAGCACTATTAAACTATCAGCTATTTCTTTTTAAATCTGACCAGATTGCCTTTAACCAACTAAGTGTTGAGCATTTAATTTCAGTTATTAATTACTTTGCACAAGCATTTTACATTAAGGACAACAATTCTTTAGCAGATATTTGTTGTTGCAATAATTAATAAATTGGTAAAAGATTTAACAAAAAGAACAGAAGTCAGTTTTCCTTTCAAAAGACCATGGAAGGTTCTCCTCTTCCTATTGAAAAAATATTTTACTTTCCAATATTTTTTCTCTTGTCAGGGAACTGAAATCCAGCAAGATTTATGCTTTTCATCTACTAAACATCATAATACTTAACAAAGGCTTTTATAGTGAAAGGCTCTTTCTCAATCAATGTTCATATAAAGATGTACTTGCACAATAAACAGTTCAAAGTTTAGTAGCCTGATAAATATAGTCCAACAGCAGAATCAAAAGATGCTCTGATGGTTCAAAGGCAAATTAACTGGAGAGTAATTATCCCATTTTTGGAAACAGTTAAGTTTCCAGTTTGAAAACACAAGTTAAGAGCACTAACCGTACAAAAGGATAATACTCAAAGGAAGCTCACATTTCAGACCTGTCCTTGTTACTGGTAGAAAACACACAATTTTTTTTTTTTTTTTGGTAACTAGATTTAACAATATAATTCTAATAAACAAGTTAAATCAGGAACTTCTTATATCTGGAACCCCAGTGTTGATTACAAATAAATATTAGCCCACATCTATCACCAATTACTCAGATGTTTCTTTCTAATGAATTGACCATTACATTTCCTAAGTTCTGAAATGGCCAACAGACCATAGAAAGACATTTCTTTAGGCTCCTGCTTGAAACCAGCAGCTTCAGCAAACTGCTGGCCTTGATTCAGGGCCAAAGGATAACAAAGACCTCAATTAAGCAACTATCAGTGTCTCCCACTAGCCTTTCGGTCTAGCTAGCAAACTGAACAAAGTAAAAAGATACGAGTAATGCAGTGTCTGGTCATTGGAAGAGACTGATTAGAACAACGAACATCATCCACAAAGGCCAAGCACCTCTGACTGGAACGAGTGGTATGGGCCTAAAATTGGAAAAAACAGATTAAGTAAAAAAACACAACCAATACTCCCACAAAAGAACATACAACCAATTATGTATGGGAGTATTTAGTTATAAAATATATGGTACATCTTTAAAAGTTAAAAATTCAACATTTATATGTATACTCCATATACTATGCTATGTAAAAAATATGTAACGCTATGTAAAAAATCTCATGTACAAATAAATCAACCCTGATTTGAATCTTACCCTTCCATATTATGAAAGTGCAATATAAACTAATAATTTTCAAACTATTTTATCTTTTAGCCTTCTCAAAATTGTAAACTTATGTGAAACTTCAACAAATAAAACACAGAAATAAAATTAATCTTATTGAAGCAGAGACCAAGGGCCTGAGAAAAAAATTTAGTGATCACTTACTTCTCCTATCAACCTTTCTTCCCAACATTCATTGTTCCTATTATTCTACCTGTTTTCCTGCCTTCTAAAAGAGGATTCCCAAGAAAAGTGGGCTTAACCTGTACCTATTTCTGAACCAAAGAACTGAGAAATCCGTGGCAACCCTTCAATTTGCAGATGGGAATAGAGGCCCAGGGAAGTTATCAGTGCAGGCACAGTACTAGTCAGAAGAAAACCGAGGCTAGAACCTATGTCTTCGGATTTTCAGGTAAGTGCTCTTTTCAATATACCCCACGTCCAGTAAGTCAGATGTCAGAGCCAAGACTATACAACAGTGCTTGGACAATTAATCTAACTTTACAAAGAAAGCAAATTTATAAATCTTAGGAATTTATGCATAAATTACCTGTTGGGCAGCACCATCTGTGGCCAGCATTCTACGTTCCTTCAGCTGCCTATGTAGTAGGGCTTCTACTCCATAGCGCTGACGATACCTCCGAAGACATTTTAGACGCTTTAAGTTATCTCGTTCTTTGGCCATCAGTCCCTCTGGGCCAGTCAGGAGACTACTACCTGTAGAGTCACATCCAAGATGTTATCTGACAAGCAACCAAACAAGTGCTAGCCTCAAAATTAACAAGTAAACAGAAAAATCTTGGGCCATAAGATAGGCAGTTTCAAAAGCAAACTCTCCTCCACTCCAGATACCAACAGAGATAAATGTAGCTACTACTACCAACATGTAGGTTCACATGTTGAACCTACAATAGGTGGTTGCAACTTGCCTAGAGCTTCATGTTCCACTTTCCGATTATGTAAGTAACGTCGCTTCTTCTCTTTGAGCAGATGCTGAAGTCGTTTAAACTGATCAATGTACAAAGACTGCAAACGAATTAGTTTCTCACGCATAATCAGGGCCACTTCTTCGGCTGTGTAGACACCAGCATGTCTGGAATAGAAAATTCCCAGCAATGCATAAAAAAGCACAATAATAAAACCCAAGTTTAAAAGGGTAGATACTAGACAATATTTAATAAGCAATCAGTGTTTTTATAATTTTTTAAAAAATATATATTTTATTGATTTTTTACAGAAAGGGAGAGAGATAGAGAGCCAGAAATGTCAATGAGAGACACCAGCCAGCCGCCTCCTGCACATCCCCCACCTGGGATATACCCGCAACCAATGTACATGCCCTTGACCGGAATCGAACCTGGGACCTTTCAGTCCGCAGACCAACGCTCTACCACTGAGCCAAACCGGTTTCGGCAGCAATCAGTGTTGAGACAATCACCTTATTAGTAGAAATCTCTTTATACATTTTACCATTCAAGTTGTTACATAAAAAAATAATCTCCAAGAATGGACACTAATGTATGATCTAGCATGATCTCACATGAGGAAGGGAAGAGGTTTCATTATTTTCCCCAATTATTTGCATTATGTTTAAAAAGAAGTAGATACTGAATGCTCAAAATTTATTAATCTACATTCTTATTCCATCTAACAATATGGAAAAACCTCTTAATAGGACAACCTGAAAGTGCTCAATTTGTTGTAAAATGATCTTAATATATTTTAATTAAAGTACAAAAAAACAGGGAGAAACCAAGATGGCAGCATGGGTAAACACCTAAACTACCTCCCACAACAATTTCAAAACTACAACTAAAAGACAAAATTAACATCATCCAGAACCACAGGAAAGCTGCCTGACTGGAAATTCTACAATTAGAAGGAAAGAGAAAAGCACACAGAGACTCAGAGGAGCTGCAAAAGGCTGAGGTTCGGAGATACAAGTGCAGGCAGCTGAGGGCCTGGCTGGCTTTCTCTAGCAGGAAGAAGACAAAAGCTCCTGACTGTGCTGAACCCCAGTTCTGACTGCACTGAACCCCTGTTCCAGGCAACATCCTGGGGACCCAAGCTTATAAGGGGGAATATGGACTTTCAGGGGGAAACTCAGGGGTGCCGCAAAAGGCAGAGGTCTGGAGGCGCGCGACTGACTGCTGAGTGCGCCGCTGGCTTTCTCTAGTGGGTGGGAAATGGAAGGTCCCCACTACGCTGAACTCCAGTACTGGGCGAGAATCTGGGAATCCAGATTCATTGGGGAAGAAACTGAACTCTATGGCAGCAGGCAAAACTCGAGGGTGGCTTACTCATAGAGGTGTTTGTAGCGATGACCAAGGGACACTGAGACCCAGGGGCCTCATAGGGCAGGGCTGACAGGAAGCCAATACTGTCTGCTCAGCACTGAGACTCCGCCCCATCCAGGCTGAGCACAGAGGCTTTTGCAATTTTGCAAGTCTGATCCTATAAGACTGTCTCCAATACAGAAGGTATTCCAGAGTAGAGACAGCTGATACTTACATCCAATGGGCCTGGAGGTCAATTCCTCCCAGTGATACCAACAACAATCAAGTCTTAATTACAACAAGGCTGTTCACGCAGTCCACAAAGGAGAGCACCAAGAGTGTCTATCTCAGGTAACTGAGGAGGCTGACCCACTGGGCCATGTAGGACACCAAGCATACAAAGAGATCCTACCAACTCTGGGAAGCAGCGAAAATGCAGAGACAAAGAAACAGATCACAAACAAGAGAAATGGAGGAAAACAAACGACAGGATATAGAGTTAAAAACCATGGCTATAAGGTTATTCAGGAATTTCCTAGAAAAGGCCAATAAATTTAGCAAAATCCTTGAGGATATGAAAAAGGACCAACTAAAAATTAAACATACACTGACTAAAATAAAAAATAATATACAGAGACCCAATAGCAGATTAGAGGAACGAAAAATCAAGTCAAAGATTTGAAATATAAAGAAGCAAAAACCACTCAACAGGAAAAGCAAAAAACAAATCCAAAAATTTGAAGATAGTGTAAGAAGCCTCTGGGACAACTTCAAGGATGCCAACATCAGAATTATGGGGATGCCAGAAGAAGAGAGAGAGCAAGATACTGAAAACCTATTTGAAGAAATAATGACTGAAAATTTCCAACACCTGGTGAAAGAAATAAGACTTACAAGTCCAGGAAGCGCACAAAACCCCAAAAGGAATCCAAAGAAGACCACACCAACACACATTATAATTAAAATGCCAAGAGCAAAAGACAAAGAGAGAATTTTACAAGCAGCAAGAGAAAAACAGTTAATTACCTACAAGAGAGCACCCATATGATTGTCAGTTGATTTTCCTACAGAAACTATGCTGGCCAGACAGGAGCGGCAAGAAATATTCAAAGTGATGAATAGCAAGAAACTATAACCAAGATTACTCCACCCAGCAAAGCTATCATTCAGAATTGAAGGTCAGATAAAGAGCTTCACAAGTAAGAAAAAGCTAAAGGAGTTCATAAACCCCAAACCAGTAGTATATGCTGAAAGGTATTCTTTAAGAAAAGGAAGAAAAAGGTAAATATAATTATGAATAACAAATACATATATACCAACTATAAGGTTCTCCCTCCTCCCAACTGGTGGGCGGAGTTATGACATTACTGGTATCTGTCATAGAGACATCTCCAAGACATTGAGCCATCAATCAGCGCCTGCCAAAGTGTCCTGGAGCCCATCCTTTCCTATTCTGCCCTGGGTCCAACCCTCTTCTGTTCCTCCCCTTAAAAGGACCCCCAGACCAGCCACGTGCTGCTGATCCTCCATGTCCAGGTGGCAGCCCGGCTGGGTCCATCTCCCCTCCCAACTCCTTCAATTCTGACTTCTCTACCTTCATAATGAGTCCCGCTCATTACTGGGGAATAAACTTTACTTTAAAACTCCTTGGTGATCAATTTCCTGCGCCTCAAACCTTACACCAACAAGAGAATTAAAAATCTGAGGAACAGAATAAACTGGTGGATATAATAGAATCAGGGGCATAGAAAGGAAGTGGACTGAAAATTCTGAGGGGAAAAGGAGTGTGGGGGGAGCGGGAAGAGACTGGACAAAAATCGTACTCCTATGGATGAGGACAGTGGGGGGAGGAACGGGCAGGGGGTGGGGTGGAAACTAGGTGGAGGGGAGCTATGGGGAGGGGGGGGAGAGGAACAATTGTAATAATCTGATCAATAAAGATTTATTAAATTTAAAAAAATAAAGTACAAAAGATAAAGAATTTTAACTTTTAACTTAAAAATACATTCCTAACAGAGCTCTAAATTTGTGAATAGAAAGAAAAGCCTGGACCCTTTGCCTTTCAAGGATATTGTGGTACATAAAAGGCAAAGCTTGTGGTGAATGAGAGGAGCTACATTGAGGTCAGACTTGCTTTTGTAACTTGGAATTAAAATAATAATTAAAAACAAACATTCCTGCCCTAGCTGATTTTGCTCAGTGGATAGAGCATTGGCCTGTGGAATAAAGGTTTCCGGGTTCAAGTCCAGTAAAGAGCACCTGCTAAGGTTTCAGACTCGATCCCCAGTAGGGGGCGTGCAGTAGGCAGCCGATCAATGATTGTCTCATCATTATTGATATTTCAATCTCTCTCTCTCCCCCTCTCCCTTCCCTTCTGAAATCAATAAAAATATATTTTTTATAAAGACATTCCTGCCATGGTTGAGAGGTTCAGTTGGTTGGAGTGTTATTCTATACACCAAAAGGTTGCAGGTTTGATTTTTGGTCAGGGCGAGTACCTAGGTTGCACATATTTTAATGAGCCTAAACTTATTTTGGATAATGTTCCTCATTGAGGTTTTTTTTTTTTTTTTTTTTTTAAAACCCTTGTCCTATCTGGTTTGGCTCAGTGGATAGAGCACTGGCCTGTGGACTGAAAGGTCCCAGGTTCGATTCGGTCAAGGGCACAAGCCCGGGTTTTGGGCTCAATACCTAATAGGTGGTAGCCGATCAATGACTTTTTCATCACTGATGTTTTTCTCTCTCTACCTCTCCCTTCCTCTATGAAATCAATAAAAATATATATATATTTTTAAAAGCCTTATATTTCATCGCCTAATCGCTGCACATACTTGAAGCTTCCCCCCCGACCTTTGGATGCTCCTTTTAGGATAAACTAACTTTGAGTGACTAGTCCTTTTAACACTTATATTTCTCATATAACTGATATTTTGGTTGCTATAGTAGTCTCTTGTAAGTTATATTCATATGACTGTAGTATCCCCTAGACACTGATCTCAATTACTAATAATAAAATCAAGTTTCTGGACCTTTAAAAAAATTGTGGCCCGCCCTAACTGGTTTGGCTCAATGGATAGAGCGTTGACCTGCGGACTCAAGGGTCCCAGGTTCAATTCCGGTCAAGAACATGTACCTTGCCGAAACCGGTTTGGCTCAGTGGTAGAGCGTCGGTCTACGGACTGGAAGGTCCCAGGTTTGATTCCAGTCAAGGGCATGTATCTGGGTTGCGGGCACATCCCCAGTGGGGAGTGTGCAGGGGGCAGCTGGTCGATGTTTCTCTCTCATCGACGTTTCTAGCTCTCTCTCTCTCCCCCTTCCTCTCTGTGAAAAATCAATAAAATTAAAAAAATTAAAAATTAAAAAAAAAAACATGTACTTGGTTGCGGGCACATCCCCAGTAGGGGGTGTGCAAGAGGCAGCTGATCAATGTTTCTCTTTCATCGATGTTTCTAACTCTCTGTCCCTCTCCCTTCCTTTCTGTAAAAGATCAATAAAATATATTTTAAAAAAAGAAATTTGGGCCCTACGGAGCACACACCTCTTCAATGCAACAAGTTTGGCATTTGTAGAAGTACAATGAAAAATAAAATAAAAAAAATATGCTTGATATAAAATTACTGTGAAAGAATCTTGCTAGAAAACAAATATTCCTTCTCAAACTACTAAGATGGACTTTCCAAAAAAGTATTTGAGTTGCTAACTATACTGAAATTACTCAAGAGAAATAGATTAAAATCTACTCAGAAAAATTTAACCTTAAATGACTTCTTATAAACCTCAGAATCCAAGGTAATGAAAAAAATTCTAAGAATTGAAGTTCAACACAATCTAGTCTAGAAATTCCTTACTCTATTACTCACATACTTCTACCTAAATTGTCAGTGGGAAGTGCTAAGAGAGAGAAGTCAGAGAGAAGAAAAGAAAAAAAAAAAACAAAAAAACAAAAAAAACGCAAACTAAACTAAACCATGAAACATAGCAATATGAGACTTAGGAGTAGCAATGCTTAATGGTTTTTGTTTCTACAACTCCTAACATGAATATGGTTCCATAGAGAGAGAAACCACAAGATATAATTAGGCCGATTACTCACTCTTTGGTTTCTAAATCTCTCTCCTAGACATGAAACCAAAGGATATTCTTAAAATATCTTATTTTTCTTAAAAAAAAAAAAAAAAAAAAAAAAAAACAACCCTGATGTAACTTTGCAAAGGTAGTTTTTTAAATACAATCACTTTATTATTCCTGAGTTTTACACCAAGAATACATCCATGCCCTAGTCAGTTTGGCTCAGTGAATAGAGCCTGCAAACTGAAAAGTCCCAGGTTCGATTCCGGTCAAAGGCAACATGCCAGGGTTGTGGACTTGCTCCCCATTGAGGGACTTGCAGGAGGCAGCCGATACATGATTCTCTCTCATCATGGATGTTTCTACCTCTCTCTCTCTTCCTTCCTCTCTGAAACCAATAAAAATATATTTTAACAAAAGAATGCATTCGCATTAATTTCTTCTTCTCTAATTGATTTAAGCATTTCTCAACCCTCCTATGTCCAACAAATTTCCTATTTTTCTCTCCTATACTTACTCGGGTGTAGAATTAGACATCCAAAAGTTTTCCCAAAGTACAAGACTTCTAAAAAAGAATCAGATCCCTATGGGGGGGGGGGGGGGGGGGCAATGTTAAAGTATGTACACAGATAATAATTTAATAAAAAATAAAAATAAAAAGAATCAGATCCTGCCTCAAACTGAAATGATGATGAATCATGACACTTTTACAGAATCTCTTTCTGCTCACAAACAGCTAACCTTTCTTCAACCCTTTTAGGTTATTAATTTTATAACAGTACACAGTACTACATTCCACATACTAACTACATGAAATATTTAAAAGCCTCTGTGGAATTACAACTTACTTCAAGGGATCTTCTTGATCACTGTCTATGCTATCAGCTTCACTGTCAGGGTCACCTCTCCATGTCTGATCCACAGTAATGGGTTCCTGCTCCCCATCACTCCAGCTGTCTTCATCTGAGACAAGGAAGGGACAGCAGCCATTAAGACTTCCCACCTCTGTACCTTCACCACACAAAACTAGGTTAAATCAACCCAAATCTTAAAACTGAGTCAACCATGCTCTCAAAAGGACATGGTCCAATTCAAAATTATTTTTGTTTCCTAAAATTACCTTCCATAGCAAAGATAGGATTATAAAAACAGCAATGAAGAAAACAGTCATAAACTCAGGCAAGAAAACCTAAGCACACACTATATTTCAAACTGAAAAGAATTGATAAACATAGCAATCCTGGAATCTCAACAATTTGCCAATGAATTAATAGTATTGTATTATCAAGTACTATATACTGGTACGTTCAAAGCACTGTGCTAAAACCAATAAGTTCTTTGTTACCTTTCTTCCTCCTTTTTCATTCTAGGTTAGAATATCCTTACCCAGAATTCGGCTGGCTTCACTGCGACTACTTTCTGGAGTCTGAGACCCCAGCTCTGACTTAGCATATGAGCTCAGCTGGCACAAGAGTGTTTCTCCCATCGGCCCTGGAGTGGTCTTCTTCATTTGAGCATGCAGAGCCAGTGCATTCCTACGGGCATGTTCAGCACAGAAGGACACCCTAAGGAGACAAATAATTAACATTTTATTTATTTTAAAATATATTTTATTGTTTTGTTTTTTTTTACAGAGAGGAAGGGAGAGGGATAGAGAGCTAGAAACATCAATGAGAAAGAAACATCGAACAGCTGCCTCTTGCACTGTTGTGCATGCCCTTGACCGGAATTGAACCCGGGACCTTTCAGTCGGCAGGCTGACGCTCTATCCACTGAGCCAAACCGGTTTTGGCAAATAATTAACATTTTATATTCAGATAAGTTCTTTCTGGAAAAAGTTCAATAACTTTCATTACTCACTGATCTTTAGATCACTTTTAGGAAATTAAAATAACAGTTATCTCATCCTAGCTAGTTTGGCTCAGTGGACAGAGCTTCGGCCTGCGGTCTGAAAGGTCCTGGGTTCGATTCCAATCAAAGGCACATGCCCAAGTTACAGGCTTAATTCCCAGTAAAGGGCGTGCAGGAGGCAGCCAATCAATTTTTCACTCTCATCAATGATGTTTCAATCTCTATCTCCCTCTCCTTCCTCTCTGAAATAAAAATATATTTTAAAAAAATAAATAAAATAAATAACCATTATCTTCCTTTACAAATATTTAAAAGTCAAGTGAAGCAGAGTAATTTGTCTGGTCCAAGATCAACTCATTTGGTTTTACTGAAAGAAAATGCAGGTAGCATAATCTAGTGCTCTATCCACCAAACAAAACATCCTGACTACAAAATGCTGACATCTCAACAAATCAAAAAAATCCACTTTTATCTTTCAAAATTGGTTCTGGAAGGCAACTCTACATTTTACTTCAATATATCACATATTAGGTAATAAGACGTTGCACACAATTTTAAAAAGGTATCCACGTTATACTCTACATGGATATCTTTGTATGTAATGAAAGCTATGAAGCCTTTCCCAGAATACACATTTTACATGTTATTTAATAAGGTTCAAAAATGGCCCAAGAGTCAGGGACCCCAGCTTAAGAAAAATCTAGAATATCCCTTTAAAGATAAGAGCAAAAGATCCAAAGAGAAGATCTGAGTGATCCAATGGAAAATAGTATCATCCCAGTTTTCACCAATTTGTCCCAGTTTCCACCAATTTTTTTTTTCTTTTCCAAGGATATATTATTCATAACCCCAATTCTGGAAGCATGTGGGCTTAAAAACTCATCCCAGCCCACATGATACCGCATTCCACCCCAACTTTAAAACTGAAAGTACAAACGACAAAAATATCTATACATATATACCCATCTTTCTTCTCAGGCTTTGGGGCGGCACTGGGGCATCTTTTTCCATTCTTCGTAGATATGTAACTACATTGTTTGAAAGGTGCATTCTTGTCTTCAAGGATATGCTTAATGCAGAACTCCTGGCCCTCCAGGCGAGGCTGCGAGCATGGGCGGTGAGTGAAGGAACAAGAGAGGGACTCCTGAGACCTGGGAACTGGGGTGATCCTCCCTCGATTGGTCGGCAAGACGTGGATCCGAATCCTGTTCATACCAAACCCTGCAGGATCACACAGATCAAAAGGCCCTTACTCTTGTCAAAAATTCCTCCTCCACAATGGTGGGGCGGACCGCGAGGAACTTTCTAAAGGACAGACAGGAGACACCCTCCCCGACTCTCCTCAGGCATTAGAGTCAGCCTCACCACCTCTTCTCCCTCTACCCCATCCCTCCCCCACCAACCCCTACGCCTAGCCTCACTCCCACCCCCACCCTACCCCATCGCCATCACCACCTCTACCCCATCACTACCACCCCTACCCCCACCCCTACCCACCACCATCTCTACCCCACCACCCCCACCTCTACCCCATCACTACCACCCGTACCCCCCACCCCTACCCACCACCATCTCTACCCCACCACCCCCACCTCTACCCCATCACTACCACCCCTACCCCCACCCCTACCCACCACCATCTCTACCCCACCACCCCCACCTCTACCCCATCACTACCACCCCTACCCACCACCCCTACCCACCACCATCTCTACCCCACCACCCCCACCTCTACCCCATCACTATCACCCCTACCCCCACCCCTACCCACCACCATCTCTACCCCACCACCCCCACCTCTACCCCATCACTACCGCCGCCCCAGCCCCCTCACGGCCCCCCCCCCGCCCCCTCACGGCCCCCGTCCCCTCGCCGCCGCCCCCGCCCCCTCACCGCCATGCTAAAAGCAGTGCAGGGACTCGCACCTCCGCAGCACGAGGGGGAAGCCTCAGCGCCGGCAGCCACGCCGCAGAGCCGCGACCCACCTCCGCCTCCCTCCACGTCGTCTTTGTCCCGACCCGCCTCAGAGCTCGTCCTGTCCCAGCCCGTCCTCGGCAGCCCGGGAGAGCGCCATTTTGTACTAAAGTTCCGGGCACCGGAGCATTTGGGTCCGGGAAGCCTGTAGGAGGACAGCCACCTCGACGCTGACGGAGTAAGAGGAGCAGCCCGGAGGGGGCAGAAGGGGCAAGGCAGCAGCCTAACTGCGAAGACCTAACGTGAGCACCGCCGCCATCTTACCTCCGCCACCGCGCCGCACCGCGCCGCGCGCCCTTCTGGCCCCGTCAGCCACTCTAGCTCAGCCCCGCGCCTTTCCGGGCTCCCAGCCGCTGATTGGCTAGCGCTCCTACGGTGGTGTGCCGCCATTGGCCGAAGTCACTACCTATCACGCTTGGGGGCGGGGCCCCAAGAAAATGCGCGGCTGAGGTAGGAGAGACGACCTGTCTGTCAGCAGCTCCGCCCCGCCCCGGAGCGTGAGGCGGCCGTGGGGAGCGTAGAGCTGTAGTTCCACCTCAGAACGGAGGCCGTTTTGGGTCGCTCTGCCTGTGGTCTTTGCCGCTTCCCCAGCACATCTACATAACTAGCAAAAAAATCAGACATTTGACGCTTTAGGAAAAGGCCTTAGTTTTCTTTTGTGAGCAGTTTACTTACTGAAACACTTTCTGAGTATTTACTGAGTCTGAGCGATTACATACATAAACATTTAATTTCCCAAGCAACCCTCAGAGGTAGAGGCTATTACCTCCATTTTACAGATAACTTAGAAACAGAATGGCTAAATGAGGGAGAGAGCCCTCATTCTAATTATCACCCCCTTTTGCCTCTCAGAGAGTAAAGAGCATGGGACAGAGAATAAGGAAATACTAGTTGTGGTTGAGACCCTGACTGAAATTCTCTATTGTTCCTAAATAACGTGGGTATATATTAATAGAAAGCGCGCACACACAATCCCAATTTTATAATTCTTTAAGGATTTTTTTTGTAGTTGAAAGCATCTCTTTTTTTCCCTTCTGGTGGAAATGAACATCTTCCACATAAACTTCCTGGATCTTTTTTGCATCCCAACCTCCCCAAGCACTCTGTCAGTTTAAATTTAAATAAGAGATTTCTCCACTGCCAAAACCGGTTTGGCTCAGTGGATAGAGCCTCGGCCTGTGGACTGAAAGGTCCAAGGTTCTATTCCGGTCAAGGGCATGTACCTTGGTTGTGGGCACATCCCCAGTAGGGGGTGTGCAAGAGGCAGCTGATCCATGTTTCTCTCATTGATGTTTCTGACTAACTCTCTGTCCCTCTCTCTTCCTCTCTGTAAAAAAATCAAATATATGTATAAATACCCTGTAACTCAAAACTAGCCAGAGGCAGTCACATTACAGAAAAGTTTGTAATCAGAATCTGCAATCAAATGTGGCCATATAAAAAAAGGAGTATTGCCAAAACTGGTTTTGTCTCAGTGGATGGAGCGTCGACCTGGGACTTAAGGGTCCCGGGTTCGATTCTGGTCAGGGGCATGTACCTTGGTTGTGGGCGCATCCCCGGTGGGGGGTGTGCAGGAGGCAGCTGGTCAGTGTCTCTCTCTCATCGATGTTTCTAGCTCTCTGTCTCTTTTTTGCTCTCTGTAAAAAAGTCAATAAAATATATTAAAAAAAATAAAATATAAAATAAGAAATAAAAAAATTGAGGTTCTCAATATTAAAAATAAAGAAATAAATAAAGGAGTATTAAAACTATAATTGGAACAGTGTAAAGAGGAATTAAGAACTAGATAGAGAAGCAACAAAGATTTTGTTTAATTAGAGGCTCTACTGAAGGTCTTAGTTATTATAAAAACAAAAAAAAAAGATACTTCTGCTGAGCCCAGAACAGATAAAAAATCCTATATAGAACCACTTCCTTCTAAATTGGAGAGGGGACAGATTTTATTTATGGGTCAAGATAACAAAATTTTTGTGCTGTTTAACAAAGTAGATGGCTATTTTTGATCCATTGCACTCTTTGTTAGCTATTGAATAGGTTAAAGTGGACTGAGGGTGTTTGTTGAGGTTGGGAAAGATGAATTCTTTTCTTTTTTAATATTATTAAGAGTATCTTTTTAAAGCTAGGGACAGTGAAATAAAGCAGGGCTTAGGACAGAAGCAACAGCAAGAGAAAACCTGGGACCTTTCAGTCCGCAGACCGACGCTCTACCACTGAGCCAAACCGGCTTTGGCGAATGTCAAACTCTCGCTCTTTAATGTTTTTTATTTTAGAGAAAGGAAGGGAGGGGGTAGAGAGGTAGAGACATCACTTGGCTGCCTCCTGCATGTCCCCCGCTGGAGACTGAGCCCACAACCCGGGAATGTGCCCTGACCAGGAACCGAACAGAACCTCTTGGTTCATAGGTCAATGTTCAGCATTAAGCTGGACCAAACTCTTGCTTTTTCTATAGTCCTCTTCATCTCAGTATATGACAACTCCATCTTCCAGTTGGTCAGGTCAAACAAGTGGCAGTCATCCTTGACTTCTTTTTCTTCTAACCTTATAGCAGACACTACAGGTTCCAACTTTAAGATATGTAATTTCTCATTATCTTTAGCACTTCCAACCTGATTCAAGTCACTCTTTTCTCTTAATCTTAATTATTGTGAGCCTCTTTACCCTTGATTCCTACAATCCATTTTGAACAGAAGCCCAAATGAACATTTAAAAAAATTTTTTTCCAAATGAACATTTTAAAACCTAAGAGAGAGCATGTCACTTCTCTGCACAAAACGTTTCATTGGTGCCCTATTTCACTATCTATAATGGCTTACAAGACCCTACAATATCTAGCCTTTTATTTCCCCTCTAACCACATATTCTACTTCTCTCCTCACTTATTTTCATACTGGCTTCCTTGCTCTACCACCTCAGAACCTTTGCCATTTGTTTCCTGGAATGCTCTTACCCCAACTATTTCCATGGCTTGTTTTCTCACCTCTTCAGATCTTTGCTGAATTGTAATTTCATGAGACCTTCCTCCCTCGCCATCTTTCCAATTTCAACACTCTTTTTACCTGCTTGCTCTCGCGCTCTCTTTCTCTCTGTATGTGTGTGTGCCCCTCCTTCCCTGCTTTGCATTCTCCAAAGTACTTATTGAATTGTTTTACTTGTCTTCCTACCACTAGAATATAAGTTCTACAAGGACAGGATGCTTTGTTTACTGCCATACTCCCTAGAAGAGAATACACAGTACTTGGTAGGTACTATTTTCTAGTGAACGAATAAATGAAAGGCAAGGAAGTGCCTGAAACTATTTTTCAGAAAAGATGTCTCTAGTACAGCAGGTCCTCAATTAATTTCCTTGTGTTCAACATCGGTTATAACTTTGAGAACAAATCCCTTCCCCACCAGGGCCACTGTGTGGAGTTTGTACATTCTTCCCATGTCTGTGTGGGCTTTCTCCAGGAACTACCACAGCCCAAAGATGTGGAGTTAGTTTTGTGTCAAGTATCCGAGTATGGGTGTGTGATGAGTCCTGATGGGTATCCTGTCCATGGTGGGTTGAAAAATCATTATCTTACTTGTTTCTATTAATCTTGCTTAAGTGAATGTATAGTTCACATCTATTTCAGTGTTTAATATTAGGTTTGGGGTCTTTATTTACAAGTTTGGTAACTTTTTTTTCTCACCGGAAATATGCTATAGCAGTGGTTGGCAAACTCATTGGTCAACAGAGCCAAATATCAGCAGTACATCGATTGAGATTTCTTTTGAGAGCCAAATTTCTTAAATTTCTAATGCCACATCTTCAAAACAGTCACCCAGGCCATGGTATTTTGTGGAAGAGCCACACTCAAGGGGCCAAAGAGACGTATGTGGCTTGTGAGCCACAGTTTGCCGACCACTGTGCTATAGGAACTTAATCTTGTTAATGTCTATTAGCTTATATTAATAGTAAAATTGGTTTCCTACCCATCGTTTCACTTAAAATGTCAGTTTCCAAGAATCTATCAATGACATTAAGACTTACTATATTAGCCAAAACGGGTTTGGCTCAATGGATAGAGCATCGGCTTGGGGACTGAGAGGTCCCAGGTTCGATTCCGGTCAAGGGCATGTACCTTGGTTGCAGGTATATCCCCGGTAGGGGGTGTGCAAGAGGCAGCTGATCGATGACTCTCTCTCATCGATGTTTCTAGCTCTCTATCTTTCTCCCTTCCTCTCTGTACAAAATCAATAAAAATATATTTTAAAAGACTATATTAATTTTTTTAAAGAATGCTTTTACTTGCTTTTAGAGAGAATGGGGAAAAACATGGGTCAATTGCCTCCCCCACACACCTCAACCAGGGGTCAAACTCACAACCTTTTGGTGTACAGGATGTTCCAACTGAGCCACCTGACAAATACTATATTCAAGTTTAACTTGTTTTCATTATCTGTTGGTTTTGAGTATTATGTGAAACGATACTTGTCTCCCTACACCGAGATTCCACAGTGCAAAAAGGTAGCACAAGAAGGACATGTGACAATCCATACACCAAATTAATTCAGAAGTAGACCTTAGAGCTAATAAATACAGGATGGAGCAAAAGTAGGTTTATAGCTATATGTGGAAGTTTACTCTTATATTATTTACTATTGTATTCTTTCCCATCTTACCAATTGTAGATCTACTTTTGCCCCACTTTGTATAAGTTTCTCATGGAATCCACACAAGTCATAGAAAAGGCTTCAAACTTTCTAAAGAAAGTTGAATGATAGAGATCAAACAAATTTATTTAGGTCTCCAAAAGTGTGATGAGCTCTGGCCAGTGTAGCTCAGTTGCGTAGAGCATCATCCTGCACACCAAAAGATGGAAGATTTGATTCCTAGTCAGGGCATATGCCCAGGTTTTTGGTTCAATCCCCAGTCGGGGTACATGCAGGAGGCAACCAATTGATGTTTCTCTCTTACATAGATGTTTCATTCTCTCTAAAAGTAAAAAAAAAAAAAAAAAAAAAAAAAAATTTAAAGTGTGAGGAAAACTTATAAGCCTACCTCTGCATCAGTTAGCTTAACGAACCCTTTAATTGAGGGTACAATTGTACGCAACCTTTATATTGATTTGTCTCCATCTATTCCCAAGGATGATACAATTGATATTAACTCTATTAAAAAAGGCAAATCACTGTTTTTTTATTCTTCCATTCAACCTGACCAGAATTCCTAAAATGTCAGCAACTTACACAAGTTTCAAATGTGCACAGTAAACAAAACTTGTCTTAATTTTTAAAAATGGAATGAACAGAACTCAAATGATTTTTCAGAAACATAAATAATTCTGCTCAATTTATTTTTTCCTTTTAGAGCTTTTAAACTATAACTATTGCTAACTGTATTATAATTCTGAGCATAAAAATTATTTCCCTTTAAATGTGTAATGAACAAGATTTACCTGTGTATATGGTCTTTATTATATCCCAGGAAAAGAGTACTCACTATTAATTTTTCCAGGTACCACCAAGAATGCTATTATTTTTTCCTTTCAAATGCACTCCTTATCTATACCATTTCATTTTTTTCAAAACCACATATAAAATTACGAATCATGTTTTTAGTGCTTGCTAGATTAAGGAGTACATGTTGCTAACATCTGTTAGAGCTATATATTTTTTGTGTAGCAGTTATTCTCCCAAGTATCCACACAATATTAAATGAGGGTTTACTACATCATACTTTATACTCTCAGTTCATGTGATGACCAAATTTTAGGCCTTTCCAATGGACTCAATTCCCATAGGATCTTGTGTAGTAAGAACTAGCAAAAGTAAAACAAAACTACAGTAAGAGCAATAAAATGACGGTTAAAGACTAACTGAAGACTCAATATGCAAAAATAACAATGAGTGTTTTATAATTAACATTTATTGATGGGATGGATAAATACAGATTGAGAAACATACTTGACAGCAATATATCAAACTGATAGCCAGACTATAAAATGTATACAACATCCTTTTTTTAAATTTAAAAAAACAATTTTTTATTTTTTTTTACAAAGAGCCCTTACTGTAATGGTCACTTACATCCTATCATTCACATAACAACAGTAGAGATACCAGGGGTAGCATCCAGAAGTGAGATGCCCCAAGGAGGGAAGAGGCAACAGCAGAATAATATGCTGAGAAAGAATTCTTAAGAGCAATACAAAGAAAACAGACAAAAATATCACCACAAAATTGTACCTGAGTGACATAGATTGGTAAAGTGTTTTACTTTTCTTTTTCCTTCTTTGCTCTTTGGTCTGGTAAGAAAACGGACAATTTTAGGTGTGTGGAGTTCAGGTGGGGAAAAGGTCAGTTTCAAATCAGAAATCTAAGTTAACACTAAATTAGGCTGCTGCATTCTTTTCTTTGAGTGCTTAACCCAGCCAGCATCTCCATCTTGTAATCAATTTCAAAGTGATTAACCACTAACCAGTTAGGTCCTCAGCTTTCAAATGAAGACTTCCTGATAACCTGATGAATACATATTTGCTCTGGCTTCAATTAGCATGCTGTCAAGCATCCCTCTCCACACTTAACATGACAAAAAACTCAATAATCTTTCTCTTCGTTTCATTCAACCATGAATACACACACTCATAAAGGGGGAGAGTAGACACAACTTTTTAATAAACATTCTTTTTCTTTTCATCCCTTTCCAATGCCAAGTTTATATTAAATACTTTAGAAACATTAAAATGGAAAGCACTCCCATTAAAAAATAATTATCATCCTAGACCATTCTATCAGGCAGGATTACAGTACCATGCTTGTTTAAAACTCACATCCAGAAGTATAAAAAGATAAAATAAAACTTGACAGAGTGATACCACATAACAGTTCCTAAACCATCAGGAGCAAATACTCAGTTAAAAGCTGTGTGTTAACAAGCAGCAACATGAGAAATTTGGGGAGGTATCAAAATCATTGAAGGTTTAAATGGGACTGCAGAGGACTTATTTCTCCACATGTGAGGGGTTGCATAGACTGCTAAAATTCTCCCAAACCCAAGAGAATAGTATTTGTATTCTAACTTCAAGATGGTCTAGAATTTCCCTTTTCTTAGCATTAGTATCAAAACAATTCATCAACGAAAGAATAATCTTCTTAAAAAATGATTTCCCAAGGTCCCATGTTTCTGTGGGGAACACAGATGTGTTTAAAATCCAACCATTCTGGGATAAGACCACCCCTCTAGTTGCCTTTGTCCAAGAAGCAAGGTGTCAGGGGTATGCCATTTCCAATATGGGGAATTAGATAGCAGAGGCTTAAGGAAATCCAGCACTAATGTTTCCATGATTTTATTTCTGTATCCTAATCCAATGCTGTTTCTAACTGGAAATTTTATTTCTATTTGCACAGGTGAAGCCAGTAATAGCAAACTATAAAAAAGAATGCATTAAATCAAAACACTAAAATCATTTTTTTTTAAAGAAAAAGAAGCCGAGGGTCTCAGATATGGAAACACATTGATTCATGAGTGAAAAGACTAAACTAATTCATAAGTGTTTTCTAAACCCAAAAGCATAACTGATACTTCAGAAGACCAATTTAGCTTTAGATTAATGCTTCATTAAGAGTTCAGCTAAGAGCAACACAGGTATTAACAACCTTAAGGACAATCCACAGGTATTTGTTTTTACCAACATGAGACTCGATCAAAGTTTAGGAATGAGATTTATAGAACTTGAGGCTCTAGGCCTGCTTACTACCACTTATCCTTGATAGTTTACATTAAAGGGGGGTGAGGAGAAACCATGTTTACTGGACTAACTTTAACGTATAAATCTCATTTCTCACCCTTTGAAAGTGTGAGGGGAGAGAAGAAATCACACAACCCTCTGAAGCCTAAATTTGCGAGAATTTGGATAATATGCATGCTACTTCACAGGCACACTGCTAATCCAAAGACAATGCAACAGCTTCATGCACAGTCCATAAGCTGGTTCATGACATATAAATAGATCTAAAAGCAGATATGGTAGGTATCTTAAAACAGTATCAGGAGGCATTAATATAGAAAAGTCTCTAAACTGATCTATACCAGCAATGATCTATTATAATAGTGCATAAGTCAGACTACACAGCATAAAGCAGCTCTTAGGCTTTAGTAAGCACTTTTTTCTAGTTCACTCCTGACAAAGTTTTAAAGAACTAAGTAGGCTGCCATAGGGAATTGCAAATGAAGCCAAGCGGATATGTATGTTCTGTGGTGAAGGAGTTCATGTGATTAGAAAATATGCAACATTTGATGAGAAAAATCAAAAGCTGGAGAAGACATTTTCATAATTAAGTCAGTGATAATTCCACAAAGACACAGAACCAAACTAAATAGCCTTCTTGGAAGGCCAGGAAGGAAAGCAGAATCCACCAAACAAAATCTAAACAAATAGCCTATATTTAGTAAAGACACCACACATCTACCAATTAGCATAACATACACTGTATGAAGGAGAGAGGGGAAAATGTCATCTATAAAAGTGAAGTGACATTCCATGTAAAAAAATACTAATTTATAGACTGGCAGAGAGCTCATTTTACACAGTAATGGCAGGCACTCTAGACAGTTCAAATATGACAAGATGCTGGATACTAATGCACCTTCGGTTAGGTTAAATATACTGTACAAATAAATTCCTTCCTACATTAGGTCAGTGCACCGTCAATTCCAACTGCTTCAGTATTCTCCCCAATCTGTTCCTGGCAAGCAGCAGCACATGTACAACTCCTGTCTCCCCATGATTTCCAATAAAAACATTTCAATTTGTCCATAAGGAATATTTGGTATGAAGGAAGCTCCATTAAAAAACAAGACAAATTCAAATTGTATCCTTTTTCCACAGCAAAAAATAAAAATAAAAATGCCACAAAGACCAAAGAATATCACATCAAATTATCTATAGCTAGGTAGCATTTTCAGTTAGACAACTTGGTTTATTAGAATTCTTCTAGTTTCTTAAAAGATTTCTTTCCTCAACAAAAACATTCTCTCTTAAAATCTGGGAGAATCAAGCACCCATAAGAACAGACACCTGGTCCATTTTTTAAAAGGATTCTTAGAAGTCTGAAGAACTTCTGCCTAGCATCTAAAGTCACCAAGAATGGACTATCTACACGTAACAGTATATGTGGGCTAGGCTTGCTCACTCTCATGGCACCAGTACTGTTAATTCACAAGCTCCAATCTCTGAAGACATATAGGCTACAAAAAAAATGAGGATACAGCGGTTCCCCTTCAGCTATACAGATAAAAAGCAAGTCTCACATTTATAATATAATTTAAAATACAATGTCCTAACAATTCCCAAATCACAATTTCACTGTTTTCAGGATCCTCTAGCTCCATGGCTTTTCCCAGAACTATTCTCACATATGGTCTGGGCTTTCACAGGTAGGATGTATAGCACATACCCCTTCCCATCTGAGACCCTGAGACTGCTCTCACTTGAACACTTTCCCAAAGGCCCAACTTGGAAAAAGACACACCCAATTCCGTACAGCAGAAGCCAGCTTTGCTCTCCAAACCTTCTTCCTCAATCCCACCTTTGTTCTGATCAAAAGAAAAGGTGGTTAAAAGGAAGTTTTTATAATGGAGTCCAAAATCAGGCCATGGCTGCACTTGCCCAACTTGAATTTAGAAGGCTACCACTCAATGACAGCATAAAGAAAGGGGTTAGATATCATGTCAAATACATGCATCTTCCTTTATGTTCTAAAGGCCACACTGTATTCTCTCTAGTAGACTGTTGGGAAGTGAAAAATGGAGAAGGATAGGGAGGGAAAAGAGAAAACATGATATTTAAACAAACACACTCTTAAAAACATACATACCCACACTTGCATACACACTTACAGGTCTCAACACTTCAAGTGGCCAAAGTCTATCTCAGAGATCATGGCCAAAAAAAGCCTACCCTCCCGACCCCCCTTCACACCCTCCACCCTCCAATCCCACCCCCAGGATTCATTGCTATGTATTTCATACACACAGCAAAATCCCTATCCCTTTCCCAATTATATATAAAAAAAAGAAAAACTAAACAGATAACTTACTTTCTTTAAATTATTTTTAAAGTCTCTTAAAAGATTTTGACGTTTAAATACTTCCTCTCTTCTGACATATTAAACACCAAAAAGATCCACAACTGTCTGATATAACAAACCCTCCATATTTCAGTCCTGGCAAGAAGAGGGAAGATATCAACTCTAATTTACCTAATTAAGAGGTGGAGAGGCCAAGAATAGAGAAAGTATTATTTTTCTTTCACAGCTTCAACATCTTCTCACTTTTCTAATACCAATAAAAACTATAAAATAGTTACATTTCTGAGGCAGCAGTTACAATAACCAAGGCCCTCTACCATTCTCCCACTTATGTCTCAATATTAATTTATTCCCTAGTCCAAGAAGGGAGACATATTTCATTAGGGAAGTAATTTTCTTAGTTCAGAATCAGTAGTTTAAAAAAAAACAAAACCAAAAACAAAAAAATGCGTTTTTAGTTTTTCTTCTCTTTTTTTTCTTTCTCATTTAGGAAGGGGTGGAAGTGGTGGAGGAGGTTCTGAAGGTAGAGGTGGTAGTCGGGGTTTGTCCGTATTGCCAGATCTGGAGGACATTCCACCAGCCCGTGGATTTAGATATTCACCGTAAGAATGAACAAATTCAAATGCAGGTGGTGGAGTGGGCTGAACACCCTGGGCACTGAGAAGGGAATGAAGCATATTCACAGTATCTTGATAGTCTATTGTCTGGGTTGTATTGTGACCATTGGCCCCAGCAGGGCCCTTATCCAGTTTCATATGAGGAACTCGAGTTTTACAGCTAGGCTGTGAAAAATGAAGGCCACTTGTGTCTGAGCTATGCCCAGGCAACTGGGCCATTGCAGGAAGAGGAGGGAAGGAGAAATTTATGGAAGAGGATTTAGTACTCTTGGCAATCTTTGCCGGATGATCAAGCACTGCCCCTCCAATCTCTTCTGGGGGACCCCTTTTACGAGCAGAACTGGAAGAGGAGAAAGAACTAGACAAACTATAGGCTTTGTGTGTTAGGGAGCTTGCCTGGCTATGTTTTGGATCACCTGGCCGTTTGTTCCCAGTACCAGCTGGAAGCTGTGAGTGAGAGTGCTTGTGTGAGTGGTGATTATGATGATGATGATGATTAGATGGATGAGTCTTGTGCTTTTCTTTGTGTTCTCTGCTTTTTGTGATACTATCGTCCACAGAATTGTGCTTGTCAGATGCTGCATGGACTTTAATGCGCATTTTTATCTCCTCAGGTTTCAAAGCGGCAGCTTTATCTCCACTTGCCACTGGAATTCTCATTTTGAGAGCTGTTTTGTCAGCCTTTTCCAAAAAAGGCCGCTCAGGATTTTCTGAGCCCTCTATGGGCATTTTCAGAATGACTGAAGAATGGCTATCATGTTGAGACAGGAGATTCTGGGCAGCATATGCATACTGTGATTTCACATTGGCCTCCATGTTCTCCAGTTGCCTCTTCTGGGCAGCCAACTCTTCTGCATGCTTTGCACGGTATTCTTTCAGTGATACTTTAGCTGATGGCACGCTCTTACTGTTCTGCTTCTGAGAAATAAATGCATTTGAACTATCCTGTTGCAAGGAATGATCAGCTCCTGTAAGTGCTACATTCTCACTAGTCCGATGACCCTGAGCAGGTTCCAGTTTAAAAGGAGGTTGGGAGGACAGCCAACGCTCGCCCTGCAATATATCCACATTGCTTATGTTGCTGGATGACTCTTCAGTGGCTGGAAGGGAAGGCACTGAACTTGTGGTAGAAGAAGTTGACATGCTCATTAAGCCGGCAATAGTTGTGTCTGAAGAGCTTTGGGAAATCATATTGAGGATTGTCTGCTCTGAAGTGTTTGCCTCTGCTCCTCGGTCTGCTGCCTTTGTTTTCGTGGCAGCCGGGCATGCCTAGAATGAAGCAAATGATATCTCTTCACTTCAGGTAATTTATTATATGGAAAAAACCACTGAAATGAATAGACTGTGCTTGCTTTGACATTGAAGCTTTTCATAACCCATAACCAAGAGACTACTGTAACATGAGATTGATAATAACCATCAGGAGACATAAGATTTTAAAAACCTTCAATCAAGAGTCATGCAAACAGGATCTCAAAGAGATATCTGAACTCCCATGTTCATTGAAGCATTATTCATAATAACTAAGACATAAAAGCAACCCAAGTGACCATCTATGATGAATGGATTTTAAAAATGTGGTATATGAACTATTATTTAGTACTTAAAAAAGAGGAGAAGATTTTGGGAGGATTACAGAGTAGGAAGCACCAGTAATCTGTCTCCCCACCAAACATCTGCACTGGCAGAATCTGTCTGATGGTAACTATTTTGGAACTCTAGATTCTTTTGAAGGCTTGCAACTTCCATGGTAAGCCTGGAATAGAAATTGGGGTTAATTTCCATCAATTTCATTTCTCAGCACAATAGAAACCAGCCATTGCCGACCCCCAGCCAGCAGCTGTGTATCCATTTCTGGAGTAGTTTCACAAACCTTGGGAAGTCTGGGTTAGCAAAAATGATTCTATCCTCCAAATACTGGACATCTGTGCTATGATCAATGAATGCTGCTTCATATCACAGAAGCACATGCCAAGAAACAGGCAGTCATTGTTGTTGCACTTCCCTCCATTGTTACAAGTCCCTCCTTCCGCCTCTGCCTGAAACAACTTCCAGGGGATTTAAAAGACCACCATTCCGCCCCCTATCACTTTTTTGTTTTTCCCCTTATAGGAGCCAGACATTAAAGAGTAGCACATTCAAAAACAACTCCATATACAAGGAAAATTAGAAAATGACCATCTATATCCAGGGATAGGCTCTGAATGTGGTGGCAGAGGGGGCCAATCAGGGGTCAGTGGCTGGGGGAGGGGCCAGGAGAGGTTGGCTGGTCAGCCCTACTCCCGATTGGTGCAGGGGCAAGCGATCAAGGGCAGAGCTGGCTGGGGGGAGGGGCCGCGGGCAATCAGGGTGATGGTAGCTCACTGGGGGCAGGATAGGCCAGGGGAAGGGATCGCAGGCAGTTGGCTCGCTGGCCCTGCCCCTGATCAGGATTGGAGGGCTAATCTGGTGTGGGGTCAGGTGGGGGGAGGGACTGCAGGTTGGCCAGCTGGCCCCACCCCCCAATCAGGCCAGTTTGCCAGCCGCAGTGGGTTTCATAGCAACCGGTTGTTCTGGTCATTATGGTGTTCTGATTGCTGGCTATATATATATATATATATATATATATATATATATATATATACATACACACACACACACACACACACACATATATATATACACACACACACACACACACACACACATATATATATATATATATATATGACCTACATGCTCTCCAGCACTTAAAAAACATTTTAAAAAATATATATATTTTACTGATGTTTTACAGAGAGGAAGGGAGAGGGACATTGATCAGCTGCCTCTTGCACACTTCCCACTGGGAATGTGCCCGCAGCTATGACACATGCCTTTGACCAGAATCGAACCCGGGACCTCTCAGTCCGCAGGCCAAAGCTCTATCCACTGAGCCAAACTGGTCCTGGCTTAAGAAACATTTTAATAACATACTAATGTCTGTAACCTGAAGTCAAAACTTCTGGGTAAGGGTAATGCCTTACACAGTGGTCGGCAAACTCATTAGTCAACAGAGCGGCAAACCACGCTTGTGAGCTGCAGTTTGCCAACCACTGCCCTAGGCAAACTCATTTTCTGCAACTTATTCAACTCAAAAGAAAATTAAGCTTATCAGTCTGGATTTCTGAGAAATGCAGGTTATGTTTTGTGTGGGGTTCTATTTTGCTTTTTTGTTTGTTTGTTTGTGTGTGTGTATGTGTGTGTTTGTGTTTTAAGTATTTTCACTGAATTTTAGAGAGAGAGGAAGGAAGAGGAAGAGAGAAAGAAAAACACCAATGTGAGAGTGATATGTCACTCTGCTGCTTCCTGCACATCCCCTACCAGAAATCGAGCTGGCAACCTAGGTATATGCTGACTAGGAATCAAACCAACAACCTTTGGGTATACGGGACTATACGGGACAAGACCAACCGGTCACACCAGCCAGGTCAGGAATGTGTTCTGTTTGTTTTTCAAATTTGTTTTTGTTGATTTCAGAGAGGAAGGGAAAGGGAGAAAAAGATAGAACGTCAATGAGAAAGAATCACTGATCAGCTGCCTCCTGCATGCCCCATACTGGGGATCGAGCCTGAAACCCGGACATGTGCACTGCCCAGGAATCAAACCGTGACCTCCTGGTTCATAGGTCAATGCTCTACCACTGAGCCATGCTGGCTAGACTCAGGAATGTTTTTAAATAAACTTTCTGACACTGGATAAAAAGAGGAATTATTTCATTATTTATAAGACTTTGAAAAATATTTGAAAGACAACATGAAAACAAAGTTCTAAAATCCATTCCAAAAGCAGGTAAAATAAAAACAAAGTTATGGTATCAGCTCTAACCCTGTAGAGCTCCATCAGAAGTCAACATTCTATGACTCAGTGAAGCCATGTTTTTCCCCTTAAAGTCTCCACACAGAATATACTCAACCAATGTTGCTTACAAATGACTGTATCACAAGAGTTGTAAAACAAAAGAAATCCTGCTATCACCAACAGCCATTACCTCTGGGCCAGTACCCCAAGATATGAAGTTAGAGTTATGATTACTGCATAACTACAAAAAGGGAAATTCCAAACCTAGGGTACATATCCAGTTCTGGTGCAGTCAAAAGAAGAAAATAGTTTGTCCTGTTCCATAAGCTGACAGCAATAATTCTTACCCTCCAATTCCGAATTCGTTTGAGCCTGTTGGGGGTTTTCTCCAGAATCTGTAGAAATTCATGTGTCAGTTCTACAAATGAAATAGAGCATTTAAGAAAAACTCACAGAAAGAAAGTAATGAAACAAGATTTACCTCAACTAACTATTTTCATCTGAATCAAGTCACCTTTGGCCAAATATGTGACAGATCAAGATGAAGTGCTTTTCAAGGACCCTTACTCTAAAACTTACCATCTAAAAGTTCCAAGGTCACAGTTGCGTCAACATACTCCCACCAGTGCTTCCCATCAGTTGAGACTGGGATCTCCCAGTTGGACCACTTGCAAGCCAGATGAATGCAGACACAGGCCACTACAGGAGGTGTGTACTGCAGGCTAAATGTGGTCAAATGCAGGCTGACATCAGAGGGAAGGAAACAAGAGAGTATCATGAGCTCTCAATTCTGAACCCAAAGTTAAAACTCTCCATTATTGAAAAAAAAGTAAAAAACAAAAACAAAAACAAAAACACCACTGGCAAGCAAGTAGGGTAAGAAATATCCAGTGCTCTGATTCAGCACTAAACATTATTTTCCATTAACCCACCTGCTCAGTTAATATTTATAAATTTTCTGACTACACATCATTCAATTCACATAACTGATGGACTAAAAACAAAAACAAAAATCTAAAACAAACTGGGTACTAAATTTTTTAAAACAAGGATCAATTATTTTGAAAATAAGCTCAGAACTTAAGGAAAATGATAAGATTTTTGATATGTATAATTTCTAAATCAAATACCTAAGAAAATATCCTAAAAATTATCTTGTCTTTTGCCAATCGTATTTAAAAAAAATAGACAATCACTCTCTCAAGTGTGAATATGCTCAATTGCTGGTTTATTTTTAAAATTTCTCTTATCAGTCTATTAAAATGAACTTCTTAGCCCTGACAGTCATTAGGAATATCTTTGGTTTCCATGAACCACCAATAGATTGGAGATAAGAATGAGTAAGTCATTTGATAATACAAGTTATGTATTAATTTTTTCTTTGAAATTCTTTACACATATATGCCTATTTATCTGGGAGTATGAGAAAAAACAAAGTCTTTTAAAATCCTTCAACTCATATTTTCAATCACTATCAATGAATTCCAAGTTTACCAACTTTCAGAACAATGCTCTTGGATATTTTAAAGCTAAGTAACATGCAGAATTAAAAATGTTATCAATCAGTAGTATACAATTACATCAACTTAGCCAATTATTCTAGTTTACTAAGTGCCAGACCTGCCATCTTTCCTTATGCCCTTCAAAAAGTGACAATCCCAACCCAAGTAAAGTCCTATCCCAAAAATATAAAGGAAAATATTAAAATATAAACCTGTTGGTTGCCATGAAGTAAGAAGTCTGTGCTAAGTCCTTGCTTGCTAAAAAAAAAAAAAAAAAAAAAAAAAAAGTGAGGGGGGGAAGGAAAAAATTATTAGTTCCATTTATTCTCAACAATAAATTAGTAAGCATTTAATATTTGCAAGGTAAATAATATAATGGTAAATGAAGCTGACATGGTCCCTGGACACCTGAAGTTTACATTCTATCAAAAACAGATTAGCAATTTTTAATTATAAATAACTGGATTGCTTCCAGACCTAAGAATTCAAGCTTTATCCTTTATACTAAGTATCTGATACTTGTTTAAAATGCAATCTCTGGACATCCTCCTTAGAGTTTTGACTCAGTATGTTTGAAGAAGGACACAAGCATTTTTAACAAGTACTCAGATTCTGATGCGATGGTTCACTGAGAAATACTAAACTAGAGGATGAACTAATGTGGAGGCAAGATCAGAATTTAAAAGATCTTGATATGTTTGGGGGAAATGATTTGTGCTTTAAAATAATAAGTTTAAATTAAGTAACCTGTGATTTAATCCTAAAATAATCAAATAACAAGTTATTTAATATATTACCAAAAGAAAGTTCCTTCTTCCAAAACAAAAAAAACTACTCTGGATGACAAAAAACAAATTTTAATCTCCTTAGATTAAATATTAGCATATATCCATCTCTAAGCCTATCCTTGCTCAACACAAGCCATTTAATGCTTTCAAAATATCAAAAACTCAGGGGAGATTTTTGGAATTTTCAGATAAAACACACATAAGCAAAATTCAAAATAAGCTAATTATCAGTTTGACCTACACAAAAGGTACTGAAGTGCACAATGATACATTGGTATTCCTGGATACTACTATTTAAACTGAGAAACTAGGTTCCATGCAATTATCGATATTCAAGTTAAAAAGGATTGTCAATCGAGGAAATAAATTCAAATAACTTCTAAATAACCCTCTGGGTGATCTTAAAGAATGCATAGGACAATCAATCCTACAATCAAATTAAGAGAGCCTACTCCCAAAATATCCTTAAAATTGCTATTAGTTATGATTTGATGACTTCAAAATCTACCCCCAGCTTTCACAACTAACCCTCAAGAGACTGACTCTTTAAATGGATATCACCTAAACACATTAATTAGCAGCTGTGTTACGTATTTGTCTACAGCAATTTGAGCCTCTAAATGGTAAAACAATTTTAGAGCACTGTCTCAAGCTGGGATTCCTTACCTCGAACAAGTTGAGTGCACTTTACCACATGTGTATGTGGGTGATCAATTGTTAGTTCAAAGCCTAAAAAAAGGTAACGCGTTAAAAACAAAACTAAAGACATTTTGTACATCTGTTATCTGAGTCATCATTCAAGGCCTCCCTTGTTTTCCTTCCCAAATTACTGTTCGGAGGCTAATCCCACAGAACACGCAGCACACTCCTCTCTAAGACACACTGACTGAATGCTGCTTATAATATTTAGAGCTAGAAGATACCATTAAGATAGAAAAAGTAATGCAATCTCAGGACCCTTGAAAACCAATAACCTCTAAACATAAAACACATTTTAGGTACAACAGAATGTAATAATATATGGTTGAAAGGAGCAGTTTTAATCAAGTGTTGACTCTCTTATAACACTTAACCTTGAGAAGACATTTTAAACCTATTCTTCTCTTAGCTCAATTTTGTTCCTTTTCATCATTTTAATTTAAATATATATATATGATATATATATATATATATATTTTTTTTTTTTTTTATTGATTTTTCTACAGAGAAGAAGGAAGATAGCTAGAAATGTCGATGAGAAAGAAACATCAACCAGCTGCCTCTTGCACACCCCCTACTGGTGATGTGCCCGCAACCAATGTACATGCCCTTGACAGAATCGAACCTGGGATCTTTCAGTCCGCAGACTGATGCTCTACCACTGAGCCAAACCGGCTTCGGCCATCATTTTAATTTTAATAGGTACTGATCATTTCATCCAACCCTAATAATCTTTATTAAAACTACTTGAGAAGGATCAGTGTTGTCTATAAAAATTTTCTGAGTTGATGAGACAAAAAAAATTTTAGATAAAGAAATTCTATTGAGAAATTTACATGATGTAAATTATTCTAAACGGATAACTGATTCTTGCAAATTAAATCTTACTGGCTTCTAAATATTAATAAAAATTGACCCAACCAGAAAAATACTATTGTCTCCTAAAATATGGTCACAATGAAGATAATTTATTTAGCCGGAATTAACTTCAGGGATCAAGTTTGAAGAACTCAGTGTGTGTATGTGTGTGTGTGTGTGTGTGTGTGTGTGTGTGTGTGTCTAGTGACCCCCCAAAAATGTACACACATTTTAACATTTGATAAGTCATTTAATTTTCACTCTTTTTCAGGTTTAATTAATTTGAAATAATGGGTGAAGCCAGACTAAGCTGTGAACAAAGAAAATTTATTCTAAATTTTTTCTAGGTAACTCGTTAAAAAACGAAAGTACTCAAGGGGGCCACTAGACTTTTTTATAGGGATACAAAAAAGAAAGTCTATGTTATAAAACCAGCAGCAGTCAATGACCTGAAAGCACACAAATACCAAACAAAATGATTTTTTATTCCATTGCTTTGTGTTATCAGCAGTTTCTGGACCAGAATGGTCATCAGGCACTGACCAAAAGATTTATTTCTGTAGGTTCTTTTAAATTCTAAAAATGAACTTTATGTTAATAAACACTGACTTTATAATCATTCAAAGTACATATACATTTTTAAGGGAGTGTGTGTGAGTGTGTGTGTGTGTGTGTGTGTGTGTGGTGTGGTAAGCAATAAAATCTTTATTTTCCATATTTGCTTATAAACTTTTTAAGGCAATATCTCTGATGAAAATAATAATACTAGATTAATAACAAAGTATCACTAGGATTGCCAATGAACTACTATACAGCAGATCCTCAAGTAACTTTGTTTTGTTCAATGTCATCTATATATATAAAAGCCAAGCAATCAGAACTATGGAATGACTGGACGACTAGAACCAGATCTCTATGACATGCACAGCAACAGCCAACTGGCCCGATGTGGCCCCAATCAGCACCCCCAACTGGCTCCTCCTGCCCCTGCTGGCACCCACTGGGACAAGATGGCCAAATCCCACCCATGCACAAATTCATGCACTGGGATTCTAGTTTCATTATAATGTTGATGAGACAAAAAAAAAAAAATTGATTCCCAGCTGGGGCCACTGTCTATGTAGAGTTTGCACATCCTCCCCATGTCTGCATGGGTTTTCTCCAGGTAATCCAGTTCCCTCCTAAATCCCAAAGATGTGCACATTATATGAATTGGTGTGTCTAAACTATCTCAATCTGAGTAAATGTGAGCACACTCAGCATGGAAGGCACCTTGTCAGGGTGTTCCTGCCTTGTGCTCTGAGCTGTTGGAATAGTTTTTCAGCCACCCTCAATTCTGAGCTGAAATACTTGGATTGAAAAATAACTATCTTGCCGAAACCGGTTTGGCTCAGTGGTAGAGCATCGGTCTGCGGACTGAAAAGTCCCGGGTTCGATTCTGGTCAAGGGCATGTACCTTGGTTGTGGGCATATCCCCAGTAGGGGTGTGCAAGAGGCAGCTGATCGATGATTCTCTCTCATCGATGTTTCTAACTCTTTCTATCCCTCTCCCTTCCTCTCTGTAAAAAATCAATAAAATATATTTTTTTTTAAAAAGAAAAATAATTATCTTACTTGGCTTTTTAAATTAATCTTTCTTAAATGTATGCAGAGCTCACATTTATTTCAATGTGTAATATTAGAAGTGTTTTGGATCTTTATTTACAAGTTTGGTGATGTTTTTGTGACCAGAACTATGCCATAGGAACTTGACTTTTATTTATATCAATTAGCCTATGATAAAATTAGTTTCATAATATATAGTTTCATAAGCCAGTTTCTAAGAACCTATTGATGAAGTGAGGACTTAATGTAGCTTGAATTCTTCCACCTACACTCTGCCATTCTAAACTCTGATTTCCAATTTAAAAACAAATGTTGTTATCTAAATATGATAGACTATAAAAATCCATAGAAGGAAAAGAGTCCTTTAAATAGTTGCTGCCCTTAGTTATCAGAAAATTAATAACTGCCAAACCTAAAAAAAAAACACAAAAACAAAACAAAACTGCCAAACCTTAAAAAGCAAATCATGAATCCCAGAATGAGGAGGGAAAAAGGACTGCTAACTGCTATTTCAGAGGTCAGTGTGCCTTCATCCTTTCTTCCATAAAGGTAAAACTGGGCTCAATAACCTCTAAATTTGCAAAACCTTTCCAAGATTTGTCCTCCTGTTTCCTATTTTGCAAAAGTTAAAAACATACCATATTATATGAATATTTCTTTAATGTGTTAAAGGGAAATAAACTTACCTAAAGTCTGCAGAATTATGCTTTCTAATATCACCAGATCTTGAACTTGTTGCAGGTAAGCCTGCAGGTGAGAAGACACGTAAGGTACAATATAATAGCATAAAGTATAAACAATTCTTTTTTTTTCTTTAAATATATTTTATTGATTTTTTTTACAAAGAGGAAGGGAGAGGGACAGAGAGTTAGAAACATAGATGACAGAGGAACATCCATCAGCTGCCTCCTGCACACCTCCTACTGGGGATGTGCCTGCAACCAAGGTATATGCCCTTAACCAGAATTGAACCCGAGACCCTGGAGTCCGCAGGACAATGCTTTATCCACTGAGCCAAACCAGTTAGGGCTAAAGTATAAACAATTCTAATACCCCTCCCAGAGAAATCAAAACCATAGAAGACAGGGGTGGAGTTATGAAATAGAGTAGAAACTGAAATTAATTTTTATCCCTATTCAGTACAGATTTTCCTTTTAAAAGAAAACAAAAAAAGAAGTATACCGAAAGAAAACACTTTATTCATAAATAGCTACAGAAAAAGCACGTGAGATTTGGTTCATTTTCAGATTGACATTTTAGGTTTTATAGATCATTTGATATAACTTCAAGAAAATTAAAAATATATCTTCTTCAACATCATCAGAATACATTTGCAGAGCCTTCTTATAGGCAATGTAAAACATCTGACTCCTGTTAAAACTTCTCCTTTGGGCCGAAACCAGTTTGGCTCAGTGGACAGAGCGTCAGCCTATGGACTGAAAGGTCCCAGGTTCGATTCCGGTCAAGGGCATGTACCTTGGTTGCGGGCACATCCCCAGTAGGGGGTGTGCAAGAGGCAGCTGATCGATGATTGTCTCTCATCGATGTTTCTAACTCTATCCCTCTCTCTTCCTCTCTGTAAAAAAATCAATAAAATATATTTAAAAAAACAAAAACAAAACTTCCCCTTTGGGATAATGCTAGATTTCTAAAACTTCATAGGAGACTTCAAAGAAAAGGGAGCAAACAATAATGGAAGCAACCTCACTAATGTTCCAATATTCATTATATGCTAAAATAACACTTATTAAATAATTATACAAAATATATTAAAATTAATTTTTTCAACTAGTGGTGGTGGAGGAGGGGGTGTCCCTCAGCATGGCCTGCATCCTCTCCAATCTGGGACCCTTTGGGGGATCTCTGATTGCTGGTTTAGGTCCAATCCCACAGGCACTTGGACATCCCTCTCACAATCAGGGACTATTGGCTCCTAACTGCTCACCTGTCTGCCTGTCTAATTGCCCCTAACCACTCTACCTGCTGGCCTGCTTGCCCCCAACTGCCCCCTGCCAGCCTGTTCACCCCTAACTGCCCCACCACCTGATTGCTCCCAACTGCCCCTCTCCCCACTGCCGGCCTGCTCACCCTCAAGTGCACTCCCTCCCACTGGCCTGATCAACCTCAACTGCCCTGCCCTCCTGGCCCAATCATTCATAACCACCTCTGCCTCAGCCCAGCCACTATGGTTTTGTCCTGAAAGACATCAAAAAGGTCTCCCAGAAGGTCTCCTAGTCTAATTAGCATATTACCCTTTAATTAGTATAGCAGGGGCCTGGTGAATGAGTAGGGGCTTGCTGGTCTGCCCTGAAGGGAGTCCCAGATCAGGGTGGGAGTCCCCTTGGGGGGTGGGCCAGCCTGAGTGAAGGGCCTGGGGTGGTTTGAAAGCCGGCCAAGCCCCAGGCTTGGTCCAGGTCTCCCAGTTTAATTAGCATATTACTTTTTTATTAGTATAGTTTAATAGTTTTAAATGAAGTTAAAATATTTTAGCTCTCTTCCGCCATGCTGTCAGCGTGAGTGGGACAGAGCCCATGCTAACATGGAAGAGGCTCTTTTGTTTACTGCATCAGACTTGGCTCCCTGGTGGTCCTTGGGGATCATGAAGTCTGGGCATAACATTTGGGGGCTCATCCAGGAACCCTAAGACCCTGAGAGACTCCGATCCGAAGAGCCTGACTGGGCGCGGTAAGAGTGTGTGTGTATCTGTGCTTGTGTTAGCGCTCTGGAGGGATGAGGAAACCCCTCGTGTCATTAGTGCCCAAAGAGATCTAGATGGACACATTGCTGGAAGACCATGGGCCGGAGGATTCAGAAGACGTTCCGACCTCCCGGGAGGGCTCCTCACAGGCAGGAGAGACGTGGAATCCTCTCCTAGAGGGCCCCTCACATACAGGAGAGGATGGAAACCTCTCCCAGGATGAGGCGAGTCACAGGCAGGAGAGACGTGGAATCCTCTCCCAGATCTGGTTTTAAGTTGAAATGTTGATGTTGGGCGCCCTCTTGTTGGTTGTGATTTTCTGTATTGTGGAGGTTCAGAAGGGCCAATGGCAGAGTTGCTGTTTTAGTGAGTGGCCAGCTTTCAATGTTGGAGGGCCACCAGTTGGCATGAGGCAGTCGTTTGGTTTTGCTTCCATGGAGTTGGAAGACTGTTCTCAGGAGCCCTGTCTGTTTCTTGTTCTTTGATTGTATATTTGTATAAGTAAAGGTTTCAGTTTGCTCTTGTTTGTATATTTGCTACTCTCTCCCCCCAGAGCAGGCAGAAGATGGGGGAGGGGAAACACATGGCGAAGCCACTCCCCAAGGAAGTTTTTATGCATCAGGGATTTCTGTGCTCATGTAAAGCAAAAAGGCCAGTTCAAAACCAGTACGCATAGTTTTGGGCTGTGCTTAAACTCTTTTCTGTGTACAGAATGAGCTTTAAAGATGGTGGAGATGAACTGGGAGATAAATTAAAGCTAGTTTCCCAAGGCATTTTAAGCAGCTTTTGAAATTCCCCCCCTGAGGCAAGTAATCAATAGGAAGTAGATAACAGTTTATTTAAGTGTTGATCTATGTATGCCTTGCATGATTTTTTTTTAATTTATTTTTTTACAGAGAGGAAGGGAGAAAGATAGAGAACTAGAAACGTTCATGAGAGAGAAACATTGACCAGCTGCCTCTTGCACACTCCCAACCTGGGATGTGCCCATAACCAATGTACATGCCCTTGACCAGAATCGAACCTGGGACCTTTCAGTCCACAGACCGACACTCTACCGCTGAGCCAATCCGGTTTAGGCTGCCTTGCATGAATGTTAAGAATCCCTTAACACAACCCACGAGGTTCAGGGTCCGGTTTCCGGAGAAGGCCGCACACTAAAATGAAGAGAGAGACTGGAAAAGAGTTAATTTGGGGGGATGGGGGGCCAGGCAGGAGTCAACCTCTAGTGGGAAGACTACCACTGGGTTCTGGCCTTGCTATCCCTTTTTTGTTTTTGAGGCTGTGGGATGCACCCATTACCCTTGGGCAACTTTGGGAAACACCATGGCCCTTAGGTGGGTAGGGGGCAGATTATCATATCAGTAAGGATTTAAATGATTACAAGATGGAGAAGTTGCCTCTATTAGATAGGCAGTGGTTGGCTCTGACCTTTCAAAGCTTCAAGGTTGACCAATGATTGAGTCAATGATTGGTTTCTGGCACGTGAAGTCTAGAGAATTGCTTTTAAAATGTAAAAGTATTACTGATTTGGGAAATGCTAAGTGTTTTATTTACCTGAAAAAATTTAAAGTTCTGAAAGTTTAAGGTTTCTTGCCATGAAGAGGTTTTAAAGCTACACTTTATTTTTAATTGAGGAAGGGGTGGACATGCCCTTCCCACCCAGAACAGGTAATCCAATTCCAGCCAGCAGCTATCTTTAAACAATGTGTTTATTTGAATGGCTACACCTTTTGCTAGCCCAAGGACAAGTTTACATGTAAACAAGTTTGCTTCTCAGTTCCCCTGGGCAGAGAAAAAAACATGGTTTGAATTTTGGAATTTGTTCTTGAAAATATAAAGGTTTATTAATGGGGAGTTGCTGGATGTTTGACTTGCGAGCTCTGAAGGTTTGGGGATTTGGATATGCTTAAAGAATGTGGTTTCTTGTTCAAATTAAAATCTTAGTTTGTATTTGGAATTTAATATCTGTAATAAGAAGTGAAACTCCACTGCTGAAACCACCTCTGGAATTCAAAGGTGGCAGGAAAGGGCGAAACTATCTGCTCTCCTGCAATGAGATTACTCAATGCTTTGTTTAAAATTCAGGGAGTCTGATTGCAATGTAGGGGTCACCGCTCCCCCTATTAGCAGGAGGCAAGTGCCTTTCCCAGTGTTAACAGAATGGACTGCCGGATGAAAACGCCTCAAGTGGGAGCACCTCCTTCACCATTTGGGACCTGCGCCATGCTCCCTGCCTCTGCCCACCCAGTGTCCATCCTCCTTCAGGGATTGTTTCTAGTAGTGGTGGCAGGGACAAGGAGAGAAATTCCCTTGCAAACCCCTGACCTCCAATGAGTCTGTTAATATATTAGTGTAATGTTTGATTTATATTTTAAGTTTTTAAAACAGTGTGAGAATAATTATTTGTGTGATTTAACCCCCGGTGACTGCTTGGACACTTTTCACCGATGTTCTGTTAGGGGGCTTAGAGGTGCGGCTAGATCTGTATCTATAGGGAAAATGTGGCATTTTAAATTTCAAGCGGCTGGTGGCCTGGGAACAGAGTACTGGACCTGCTCCCTCCTCTCTTGCCTTTTCTATAAAATTTGAGGCATGGTTATGTGTTTTTGAAGGATATAAAAAGGTTTAAAAGTTATGAAAAAGGAGAGCACAGAAAGAGAATGTCCTGACAGGTTAGGTAGGAGAGGCAAGCCTGTTAGTTTCCTGGTAGACACTGGGGCAGCCTATTTAGTCTTGTGAGAGCTGATAGAACCCGTACATCAGTCCAGGAAGCCACCGGACAAACTGCCTATTTTCCTTAGACATCAAGAAGGACTGTGGACCTCGGAAGGAACACGTACAGGGGGAATGCAGCTGCTGAACTGGTCCAAAGTGGAACGGGCCTTTGAGGAGCTAAAGAAGGCTCTCATCTCAGCACCTGCCCTAGCCTTGCCAGACGTCACAGAGCCCTTCCACCTCTATGTGAGTGAGGTAAGGGGCATTGCAAAAGGGGTTCTCATTCAAGACTCTAGGTCCCTGGAAGAGACCTGTTGCCTATTTAAGAGAC